TTCAGAATCAAGTACTAATTACGTCATGTTCTTTCTATTTAAACCTTTATAATTGAAACAACACCTATTTAATATTTTTTAACTACTGGTAGAAGCTATTAATTTTAAACAATTTTATATCGAATGTTTGTAAATTTTTAATGTGAACACTGGTACAAAATTTTAATTCAAAAATTCATAACTTATATACGACGTTTTTGGCGCACAAAATTTGATAAATGACTTAGGATTCTACGCGTTATCTGATAAATTTGTCTTCGAAGTTGCATATTCTCCCTAGCTTTTGGTTTTTTGGTCACTTCTCTAATTTAGTGTGAAACAGTGAGCCTGTGCGGTTGACAAGCCTTTTTCAGGATTGAGGCACGGCACAACCATATAAGCCACACCAACGGATGGCAAAATAATCTTCGGACTCGTTTAGTTCGCTGATTCGAGTTGAGATGTGACTTTATGTGAGAGTTTTTTACTATAATAAAAAAATTAGATGTGACTGTTTCTAAAAATTTTTTATTATAGTAAAACTCAAATCGGTAAAATGAACGGAGCTTTCAATACTTATTAGGCGAGCCTCACCATTTGTGACGTTCAATGAGCTTCACACAACTATTGCCGTCTCTTTTGACATTGGGATGAGAATGGATTCTGTTTGTCATTGCGACGCCTTCCAACAACGACAATGAAGGTGGAGTATTTCTGCCATTTTTGGTACGACAGAAAAGAGGAAGGAAAAAAGTGAGGAGAGATTATTAAGTAGTGAGTTGTTTGGTACTTGGTAGAGAGGAAAAAACGAGGGAAAGAAAAATAAGACCGATAAAAATTGTTGTGAAGCCCGTCAATTTTTATATTTCAAACATTAGATATAAAACTTAAATCTACCCATTGATGCTTAAAATAACTATTTTATCTTTATTTTAAAGTTAAATTAATACTAAATAATTAGTAAAATAGTATTTAGCCTTTTACATATATATATATATATATATATATTCTCATCATACTAAATAATATAAAAAGAAATTAATTTTTTTTTTGTTTTTTTAACTTTTTCTTAACTCTTTTCTTTCTCTTTTACTAAACGGAGTGTTAGGAGCACTGAATGAAAGAGAACTCAGATGATGTGCAAAAGTCATCGTTAAATTAAGAGTCGAGTAAATGTCTCGAGATTTCAAGAAGGTTTCACAACCAAGCTGTGCTACTTCTTACAACCATTTTATGAAAAACAATAGTAAAATGTGTCATTTGTACTTTTGTTGAATAACTAATTGCAGTTTCTCCTCATTATATAATACTACTAAAAGAGGTAGGAAAGTTACTGTTCTTTGAACAATGACTTTCCAATTTTGTCCATGTTTCTTTCTGTTTAAGCCTTTTTTTATACCGTCGTGTCTTTTTTGTTATTTTTACCGTTTTACCTTATGTCTCTTATTCATTCAGTTTATTTTCTTTGGGCATTTTTGTAATGTTGCCTTTATTTCAGTGTTCAGTTTTTTTCTCTCTCTTCCTTTTCGTGAAGCTTCTCTCTCTATCTGCGCGCTTTAAAATGTTTTGTGTTTTTTAAATTTTCTTGATAATTCAAGGATTTCTACTTATATTCATACCAACTAATGGATTAGTTTAGAAAAATATCTCTTCTTGTGTGAAGATAAATAAGGTTTGTAAAAGTTAACAATGATTTTTTTATTCAAGTGGCTTTCTCGTGGACCAGCAATAAGAAATATTGTTGGAAATTTTCATCCTAGAAAATGATCACTAATTTAATTTGAGTACCTCTATAAGATGGACTTTAATAGAAAACTTAAAGGTAACGGCAACAGGATTTACTAGTTTCTCATATAAGATTATTGACTAGATATAGTAATACAGAGAAGACAAAATTGTTAGGTCAGAAGCGCTCTTTATTTCAAAGAGAGAAGAATAGGTCGTTCACATTTCATTTGATGGTCAACGGCAAATTGAAAGTTAAGCAGTGGCCTCTAGCATAACAATCAAATTTATAAGTTGGTCAGGAACAATTTTAAAGATATTTTGGATAGTCTGTACAAGACCTAAAATCCATATAAAGATAGATTCTCACACTCTCTTGTAGATTAGAGATCACCATATTCCCTCAATTTTTTTGTTTTCTACATATCATGTGAACTATAAAATATCCTCGTATATCAACTCTTTTTGTTAGAATTTATATTAAACTCGGAAGAGGAGACAGGAGTTAAGTATGATCACATGTCTTTTTCCATTTATTTTTAACAGAACGACCTCATGATCTCACTATCTTTTTTTTTTAACAAAAAAGTAATTACATAAATTGTCTTCTATTAGAGCCCTGAGTCTAAAAATGTCTTCTATTATACAATACCATAAATTATTTTATACCTGATTTGCCCTCATAGTTTTTTCTAAGCACGTACCAATTTGGCATGTTTTCGTATTTATTTCAGAATATTTTCTTTGATTATAAATCTGATTTGACTTTCCTTTTTTTTCTCATTTAATATTTTGTCACCAATTTAATTAATTTATTACTGATATGATTTTTAAACTAGGATTTTCCCTCCCATTATTTATTACTAATATTTTGCTGCTCAGTTTTTTGCTTTGAGGAATGTAGTGGCTGATTTTGGGCAACAGAGAGGGGGGAAAATAAAAGGTTAATTACGGCCTCGTTTACTTTGTAGATTCAAGTTTTCAATTCGAGCTGAGATGTAACATTTTTTGAAAACTTTTCACTGTAGCAGAAAAAGTTAAATTTGATATTTTCTGATAGCTTTTTACTGTAAAAACTTAAAACTGAAAACTCGAATCGGTAAAATAAACAAGACCTACGACCAGGGGGGTTGAAAAGGTTGATTATCGCTGTCTTTTGGTTGTCTTCTTTGTCCGTTTTGGGTTGAGGTGGGTTTATTATGTATTGTTTGATGTTGATTCTTTATTTCTTGGATAATCTTGACAAATATTTTTTAAAAGTGTATGGTTCAGGATTTTTACCTTTTATCCTTAATTTATAATCTTTTTAGTCAAATAATTACACTAACAAAAATATATTTATTAAAAATAAAAAGTAAAAGTCTAAACTCATGCGCACTCAAAGATAAATTCTTCATTTTTTTTTATTACTTTCTTTGCTTTTATAGGTATTATGTACTGTCTGTTTTGGTTCTATTCTTTGTAGGTTACTAGGTTTGGGTTGAGGTGGTTATTATTCTTTTTTTTTTTTTTTTTTGCGGTTATATTCTTCACATGTTCTTTTTCATTCTTGTAGTGTCATTATCTTTACAATAATGAAAATGGATTTGTTCGTTTATGTAATTACATTATGTTTTTTTTTATCATTCTTTACCTTATTATTCTTACTCCGTTTGGTAATGATTTTCATAGTATGTGTTTATTTTTAATTTATTGTTGAGTATGTTTTTTGTTTTGTAATCACAGGTTTTTGTTTGGTAATGATTCTAATAGTATTTTAATGAAATTAAAGCATTTTTGGTGCTTGTGTATATTACTTTATTCAGTTTGTTTCATATGTAATTATGATTCAAATTGTGGTTATTTGGATTAATGAAATTGGGTTTTATTTTATCCCTTTCAAATTGGTTTTTTTTTAATGATTCACGTGTTTAGTTTGATAATGATTGGAATAATAATTTATTGAAATTAGGATTTTTAGCTTATTAATTTTTTTTTTTCATTTTCTACAGTTCACTATCATTCTTATAATGATATTTTGTTTTCATTATCATTCTCGTGTATATTTTGTATATTAATTATGATATTCATTATTGTTTTCATTATTTTTTCATTATCATCATTAATGATTCAATATCATTCTTTCTCATTCTTTTATTTATCCTTAATGAGGTTTCCTTTTCTTTCTCAAACTTCGCTCCGGGGTTCGACCGTGGATGTCCAGTTGAGCAGCGCCGGCTAGGGATGCCGGGGGTAGGGTTTTTTCGGTTTAATGAAATCTTTTTTTTTTTTTTTTGGGAAATGCTTGTATGGGTTTTGTTTTAATCGGCATTCAAAAATTAAAATGCTCCTCATTTTGTATATGGTATGTTTCATTAATTGTAAATAAACAAAATAGAAGACATTTTTAGGCTCAAGGTCCTATAAGTGGACATTTGTGTATGTAACCCTTAACAAAAGCTCTAACCAAAAGAGTTAAATGAGTTATGGGACTAATTTGAAGTTCTATAGGTAAATTGAGAGTTTTTAAAGTTCAGGATGCAAAATAAGAATGACATGAAAGTTCAGAAAAAGTCAATGAGACTAACCGTAAAATTGAACATTATTCATCATTTTAGAACACTCTACAATATTTTATCGACTTCAAGAATAATTTATCAAAGTTAAAAGCTCAGTGCAACTTATTAATTTGCTATAGGTTCATATGGCAAAAGCACCAAAACGCTTCCCTTTTTTCTTTTTTTTTTTCCTCCTTAAGTCGCAACAAATTTGGCAATCATAGGTAATGGTCCTAACTGAAAGCAAATTAAGAGAGTCACATTCACACTTGTTAACGAAAAAATTTACCATCACTTGTTAAATATTCACACTAAATGTCCACTATTTTGTAATATTGAAGTGCGCCAACTTACAAAGTGCAGGATTTGAAAACTTAGTGGACATTTGGTTCACAGATTCATAATCATAATGTAAAACTATTTTTAATTTACGTGTGTTTTTTGTGAAAAAAAACACTATAACGAGCCACAAACCATAATTCGAACCATGACACGAATCCTCATACCAAACACGAACGTTTAGTTCACGGATTCAAAACCATGATTCAGAACTATACTCGATTTACGTGTCTTTATGAGAGAAAACATTATAACTAACCACAAACCATAACACGAATTCTCATACCAAACACCCTCTTATTTTCATTAGATCAATTAGAGTACCAGAGTCGCAAAATTTAAATATTTATGTACTGACGAAAATGTCCATGAAACTGTGAAGGAAAAAAACGTAAACTGCAAATCATAGAGGAAGTCGTGGCTGGAAATTGTGAATTGGAACATATACAAACATATTACAATGGTAATTCATTAAACAAATTGGAAGATGCAAATGATATTTCTTCAGCTTGCTCTCCCTTCCGTCCTCTAAAATAAATATGACTTTTCTATTGGCTTCTGAGCAAGCTAAATAAATAGCTTCCAAAAGTAAATATCATTTTTTACATTCTTTTCAACTTCCATTACTGTCCATGCTCCCATTCAGGGGGGTGTTTATGGTACACGACTTTTTGCAGAAGGATGGATACGAATGAAGAAAATTAAAAGCATGGTACCCCCTAATAATCTCTGTAAATATTTGTATGACCCACATATACCTATAATTTTATACCATTCTTCCAAAAGGGGAAAAAAAAAATATGGCAGTAGATGGTCCAGGAGGCACAAACCGGCTTTTGATCGGTGTAGCATCCGGCATTTGGAGAAAATTGCAAATCAGAATCTCAATTCCTAGTCCTGAAGCTAGGGTGTTGAAGGAAGCAGCCATTTCTTAATAAGACAGTTCCTCCAAGAAAAGAGCGATTCGATATACTTGGCCCTACTTTGCATCCGGTCCTTCATTGCCTACTGAATAGTTCATGTTCTTTCTTCTCTTCGGTTCAGGCTCACCTAACCGCAACGAAAAGCAGATCTCCTCATCAGAGCCATTCCTCAATGCTGAGAGGTTTTTGGATTCAAGGTTTTCCTCTTGATAGCTACTTTTGTGCACTGTAGACCCGCCAGTAAAACTTGGAATGAACTGGTGTTCAAAGTTCGGAGCAGTTTTAATTCCATTTTCAATGTGAAACTCACTTTGCCTTATTGTTGGAGCTGGCCCTTGAAAGGATTCTCGCACGATTGGAGCTTGTTGAATGTTCAAACCAAACGGCTCTGAGTTCCCTTCGAGCTTTTCCTTAAATGGCACTCGATCTGTCGGGGATGACTCCCCAACTGTAGAACCCATCCCTGCTGCCGAAGCATTTCTTTGCTCTTGCAATGCGGCTATATTAACAATGAAACAACAGAAAGGCAATGCAAATCAGAAGAAAAAGAATTGAAAAGTTACAGAAATTTACTACTATGCCCACCACTAATGTGGCCGTTGAACTGAAAAATATAGCGCTGTTATCACTCCTGTGTATCTCAGTAATCATCTATCATGGCCCAGTTTTCTAATAGTTTATAAAAAAGATTCCATATTTTCTGGTCGAGGAATACAGCAGACAAACTACAAAAAGAGTTAAATATTTCTGTTGCTCATATTTGTGCCCTTGGCTTTGTCATTCGACAAAAAGAAACCTTCATAGATCTAGAATTGGATCTTCTCTTTTACATGAAAACAAGCATAACTAGTATGTAAAGCATACAAGGAAAAAAGAAAATAATCCTGATATCTCAAATCACGTAACACTCACTAATGATGAGGATTTTGTGACCAAACTTGCAAGCAACACTATCACTCCGAAAATTTTAGAAATAAGCAGATTTTCTTAGAAACTTTGCACTTTGACTAGAAGTGCCAAGATACTGGAAAAGTGGGCACTTAGAAAGGCGCATCAGTAACATTTAAAGTGACTGTCGTCAAATTATAATGTTTGTATGAACATAGCATGATAGAATTAGGACTAGAAAGTCTCTGACTTCACGGTATCTCGAGGACAGCACTGTCATGCTTTGCAGTTCAAAGCACCAAAGATTTGAAAGATTTGACGCCACGGCACACAATTACTCCAATTTGATGCATGTCTCTGTGTATTTCTTATGAGGTCATAGCTATAATTAATAGGACTTGCTTGGCATAGCTTTTTTTTTTTCCCTTTGCTTTTAGTCAGTAGAAGAAGACAAGCAAAAGCCGTGGTTTTTCAGTAAATGTTTGGAACCACAATTTTAAAAGAGCTTAATAGGTCAACATGAATTTAAAATGTTAAGAGTGAAATTTGTAATATCTTATTGAAACTCTTATACAGGTTTCAAAGTCCATTTAGAATAGTGTTTTTTAGAAGCCACATTTAGTGGCTTTAGCTGAAAGCTCTTCTGGAGAGCTGACGCTACAGATGATCAAAACACTTTGAGAAGCAACTTTTGGACCCAGGAAACTCTGCCAAACAGACCCATAGTCATGTCCTCAATAAGTAAATAACAGGAGAGGAAATAAAAATGAGTGGAGCGAATATGTTACCAGGGAATAATAATAATAATATTTACATGAGGGGGGGAAAAAAAACTAATTAGTTGAGACTCACAAACCTTGAAGCCCTTCATTGGTTGTAATCAGATCAAGTTCCAAGAGATCAAGTAGGCGTCCTAGATCAACTCCGCTAGTCCAATTCTCGGGGGGTTGACCAACTTTCAATTTCAAGCGACCCCTGTTTGCTGTTCCTCCCCATATAATGCCAACCGGCCGTGGTCTCACCCCATCTGGACTAGTTAGGAGAATGAGGCTTCCACTGTCACCTTCAAGATCGAAGGTCTGCTGGTTCTCACCAACAACAAGAAAATCAGTAAAGAAACAGATCCCTTTCTCATCGTTGTACTCTAGGGCATACGCCATTATCGTCCCAGTGGTTAAACCTGAGCTTCTTCCAACTTTTACCACTTGCCTCCCAATAAGACTGTTAATTGGAGATTGCAAATCGATGATGTTGACATCACCAATCTGACCTACTCCTCTTACAGTCACATCCACGTTATTCATATTGAAATCTTCCGCAAAAGGAATGAAAGCCCCATCAGCTCGTACAAAAGTTTCTGCAGGGGCACAAAATTGTAGTGGGCATGTGTGGTGGTCAGGACACAATGAGAAAACCATTAGCAAAAACGAGAAGTTCAAGACAAGAGTGAAAGTATTGACTCATGCAATAGCTGGCTACTCACGCATCCAAGCACAGAAGATGAAGAGGACAGAAAAATTAACAAAATATCTTGACAAATTCGAAGAAGCACTATTTGAACCTAGCACATGCAAATTCCTGCCAAAATGATTTACAGGACTTTACAATTTGTGTAACTGAGTATCTACTTTCTTCCAATGAATAAAACGTAGACAACTCTCCGATGGACTCATAGCAGCGTTTGGTGCAACCAGTGTGAGCAAAAACTAAACTGGTATTGGCTATACTTTAGTACAACTTGCCTGCATCTACACTGACAAACTGAATACCAACTAGATTCAGTTAAATATAAACTTTTAGCTCTTGTCGTCCAAGGAAACATAAAATGAACTTGAGGTCATCATGGTTTTAACTCACCCAGAGGAAAGATAGAAATCTAAAATTAGCGAAAGACAAAATAACTCAAAACAAAAATAAAAAATAGATGAATAAAGTGCCATACAAGTCTAAGGCAGTATTAAATTAAAATAATGGCAGTATTTAATTAAAATAATGTAAGGCACAGGCATAACCCAGTTTTGTTTTTGGCTAGTTAATAATATATGTAACTCCAATGTTGATAAAATATAGACCAACTCCAAGTGGCAAAGGTTAACCTTTGGCAATTCCTCACCGACCAAATATATTAAATGAATTTAAGTTCATCATGGCTTATCCAAATGATATGTCTCAGGCCAAATTGGATTCCAAATGATCTTTACCAGCAAAAATCCGAGTTAACAATCGGAGAGTATCTCCCGAGTCTGACTTACAGAATCACGGAGCCAAAGATTTACCAATAAGATCAAAACAGGCATAGAGATTAAAGTTGCTTCATAAATGCTGCATCAATTTGGAACTACATTACCTGCATTTGTTCCAGCAAAGATTCCATACCAAAGATCATCAGTGATAAAAGAAGTTGCCCTTTCCACGGCCCCCAAATATACACCAGGTCCAAGGCTTGGTGGTAAAGGATGAAACATTTTCTGGTTTGGATAGTCTAAATCAACAGCCACATGCCGATTAGTAAGAAAACCAACCTGCCGGTTGCCTGTTCGGCTTCGTACAATAGCACCCAAGGTTCCATAAGTCTCTTGGCTTGCAACCTAGACAACCATGAAATTAGTAAATTTAAGAATAAGAACGAATGAAGATGCGGATAACTTAGTGATAGTCTCAAATATTTTTAGGTTCAAGGAAGAGAATAAAGAAGTCTGGACGGGTATAGAGTAACTTAATCTAAATCAGTTATACTATGAAAGAACAACATAGTTCTAGAATAACACATGAGTGGAGGGATGTGATAGGCCTCTAAATGATGTCTTTTTAAGTGTTTTGAAGTTTTTTTTTTCGCTTTTTTTATTTTTTGTTTCTTTATTTTCTATTGAGGATACCTTATCCTCTTTTCCTTGTATCATGATTTCTATATCAATATAAGGAAGTATTCTTATTAAAAAAAAAAAAAAAAACATATGACTGGAAATATGAGAAAAAAGCAACTGATGAAGTATAGTTTTAACACTTTAGGAAATTTACTGGAGAACAAGAACCAGAGAATGTTGAGAATAAAAAAATAATAACAAGTACCAATAAATAAAAAATTCTACATCAGAGGAACAGCTCCGTTGAGCAAGACACTATTAAGAAGCTCAATCTCAACCAAACAATTGATTCCCGAAGGGAAAAAAAAATCGCTGACATGGATTTGTGATCTTGGTCCTCAGATTCTTCCAGATCTTTTTATTGGAAGTTAGGCTTTCTTTCTTTGATCAATGGGCCTCTTTTGCCCCTTTTTTTCTCCTTTTTACGTTCACATGGAAGGTTCATGGCTGCTCCATCCTTTCAGATGATTACTTCCTCTTAGCTCATAAAAAGGTTAGTTCTCATGATGTCTGGCAAAAGAGACATCCTTATATGATGCTGTGTGTTCTAAGAAAAAATGGAAATAGGGGCGGCTGGCAATTTATTTCTTCACCACTGGGTGCCATATAAGCTGTGGGTTATTCTTTAAAGGAGCTTAGGTGTGGCTGATTCAAGAGAAGACTGCTGTAATGTTTTTGCATGTTTGTATTAAAGATAATTGCTCTAGAAGGAAAAACATTTGTAAATAACTAGAAGAATCTTCGAAATTTGTATGAAGATGCTAAAATGTCAATTGCATGAAAAAAGTTAGCACCTAACAAAGGAAACGTGCAAACAGGAAGTGTCCTGGGCAGAAGAAGAATACCTGGGATCCAGAACCGATGCATGGATCACTTCCCCTCAAGCCATCCACAAGCTCTGTATATAATTGTTCTTTCGGTGTTGGAGCAGGTGCACCATAATATGAAAACTCCACAACATCAACATCACACCATACACCTCCTGGCCCCTGCCCCAAGGTTGAAAAGGGCATTTTAAGTCAGTAAAACACATAAAAACTCATCATTAAAATACATAACTTTCATCACCTGTTTCCTCCTTGAGAACTGTTAAAACCTTAAGAAACAGAGTCATCCAAGAAAATTCAGAAGAACCACTTCAACTATTGTGATAAGAATGACTAAGGTAAAAAACCCAACCAATGTATCAAGAAATACAAAAGTAATACAGGCGGTGAACGAGAAAAGGGCAGAATTTGCCTAAATGAGAAAGAGGAAAAAAATCACCTCAAGGGCAGCAGGTAGACATTGTACATGGTTGAGCCACTGCCTGTGAACTTTACGAGCAACAAAGACAAGAATAGCTGGAATATTTGTTAACACACCCCTTCGGATGCGAAACCCAATTGCTGTGCCAAGACTAAACCGACGCAAAATCTTGCTGTGGAATGCTCTAATGGTCATCAATTCAAGCAAGGTGGTAGCTTGCTGGCCAGTTGGCAAACACCCCAGAGTCTCAGGCAGAACACCTTTCTGCAGGTTACCAAAATAATTTGCCCTGTCTTCTGCAGCATCATTTAATCTACTTGATGTCGGCCATGAGAAGTAGGCAGCATTGCTTTCAGAGTGCTGAGCACCTGATGCAAAAGGTTGGAGGGGAGAAGGACTAGAGGAAGGCAAATTAGGATGACCGCAGTAATTCCGATCCAAATCCAGAACAGATTCATCTGATTGTGTTGATCCAGAGGGATGAAATCTTAAATCTAATCTCATCCTGTCCATCACTCAGCTCTCCTGCATGATTTTGATTCACCATCTATCAGAAAATCCAGACACCTAGTTAAAAAAACATCAACTTCAGTTATACACAAATCCCCCTTCCTTTATATGTTCAATGTCCAAGTATTTCACACTGCGGATTTAAATTTTTTAGTCAACGAGCAAAACATTAAAAAACTATGCTAGAATATGACAGACTAAGTACTAACTAACAAAAGATAAAAGAAGTAAACACATACGAGAGAACCAAGCCAAGTTTTTACATTTTTCAACGACTAATAAAATCAAACATTATCTGAATTGAAAACTTTGGAAATAGAAACTTAAGAAAGGAAATCATCAACAATAGTAGCATACCAAATATTAGCGGTTATACTAGAAATGTAATAGAAAAATGGTCTTATAAGACAGATTCCAAGCTACCTCTTCTCCTAAAGCACTAATATAACTTTCAGAGTTCTATAAGTGCAACGAGCATGTATATTGTATAGGACAAATCCTTGTACTTTTTGTGTTTGTCTGCCTGTGTACATATGTTTTTGCTTCAGGGGAAAAGAAAAAGAAACTCGAAGACAGCAACAAGAATGAAAATGCAAAAGGGAAAAGCCCAAATGGATACTCCAAAGGGACTAACCCAATTTTGAAGATCTTTAAAGATCTTTAAGTACGTTTAGCTCACATGGCATCTAACCAAAACGGAAAATGTTTTTCCATTTTTTTATTTTTCGTTTTTGGCTTATTCGCATTTGATAATATGTCCAAAAAGAAAAAAGAAAAGCCGATCAGAATAATTGATGTGCTATTCACACTTCTGAAAGAACTTCCACACTCATGTCATTCTCCATCGTACTTGACATAAACATCCTCAACTAAATTATTTCTACAAGAAAAAACTAATTATAATACTTTCCCGAGAAAAAATATATTCAATATGGTGGGGATTATGCTCTTCAAAATCACTCAGGGGACATTTGCTAATCAGAGTATCAAAAACTGAGAGTGTGAATATATATATATATATATATATATATTAATTATGAGCGGAAAATAACATTTCAATGGTACGATCAACACCTAATTATTAAAGCCCAAAATGGAAACGAATTGCACGAAGACTTTCTGATAATCTCTCTCATGAAAAATCGACATTATGATAAACAATGCAGAAAAGGCACCACACTTGTAACTCATAAAACTAAACTAACAAAAATAGAAAAAGAACAAATGGAGGTAATATTGAATTTGAAGCAACCCAAATTACAAGTTCACGAAATAGGTTGTTGTAAAATGAGAAGAAAATAAAGAGAAGACGCATTTACAGTAAGAGAATCAAAGTGAACCCAGAAATCCCAATAGCTGAATCAGAAGAAAAAGGAAATTTGATTGAAGAAGTTGAAAGTCCATCCATTGATTGACTAACCGATCAGCAATGGCGGAGCCGTGACGGAAGAGAACTCAAAACAAAGCCCCTCGAGTATTCTCATGCCCTAGAGCAGATTTCCCGCATATCCATCATTGGTACGATCAGATTGAAGCTCAAAATCGCTTATTAAAAGAAACCCAAATTGCCAACTGCCAATTGCCTTACCAGTTTGCCTCCATGGAAGTAATCTATCAGCTAGAGAGAGACGAGAGAGTAGGAATAACTATAACCATATTTAGAAAGAGGAGAAAAGGGTCTTGAGAGAGAGAGACGCCATATACTACTAATATATGTGATATATCTATAGTATCTGTCTGTGATAGGCGTTAGTTACAATATTACACGCCCAAAAGAAAATAATTATTAATTTACTATATTATTATTAAATAGTTATATATTTTTTCGCTTTTTCTCTCTTTTTCATATTCTTCCCTTTTGCTGCCTCTATTTAATATTTCTTTTACTTTCTTTTTGCCTTCGATATTGATTTTAATTAGAGGTGGTGAGGAAATAAAACTTTTTTTTTATTTTTTATTTTTTCTTGGATCCCATTGATATTTAGTTTGGTGGGAGAATATAGGGACCCATCCATATTTGCTCCCCAAAAGTAGCGCACTCTTCATCCTAATAATTCAATTCCCATCTATTATATAGCTCTATAAGAGCTATTGAAACTTTTTCTCTTTTTTTTTTTTGTTGAAAAAGATCTATTACTCCCTAAAAAAAAATAAATAAATAAATAAAAAGAAAGAAACGGAGAGATCTATTAGTGAAAGTGCAAGGTTTGATTTCCTTGTTCTTGCACTCTCATTTTCTCTAATTGAAAATCATGGTAGATGTTGGTTTACACTATTTTTTTTTGTTTGGTGTCTAAGTTGAATGCTTGTTAAAAATATGAATTATTGCTCAAATTAATATGTGGATGTGGCCTGTGGGACACAAATGAATAGAATTGGTTTCCTCAAAAAAAAAAAAAAAAAAAGAATAGAATGGGAGGCAATCTCTCACATCCTTCCAATTTAATTATTACCTCTCTCCTTTTGAAGTGGCACCCTTTGAAAATCCTCCTTTCCTCTCTCTCCTACATCATCCATTATTTTTCTTTAAAGACACTATTCCAATTGCATACCTTGCTTTAAAAAAAAAAAATCATTTCTAGAAGTTAAATTCTCTCTCTCACAATCCCATCATATATTATCAACACATTATCTTCAACTTTTGCAAGTCATTGCATTTATTTTTCAATTATCAAATAATGATAACCCTGCCACATGTAATATCGCCACATTATTGGAGATGATAACCTTTAAGGAGCCCATTCATTGAATGCGTTTAACTAATAATTTTTATTTTTAATTTTTAATTTTTAATTTTTTTTATGAAAAAAAATATTGTAATATAATTAAAATTATGTGTTTAAATGCAGTAAATAGACAAATCTTAATAAAAGTAAAAAAATAATTAAAAAAATGCGTCTATTTACACTCTTTATTTTACTTTTTACACACTCATTTTTAATAAATTTTATTATTATTAAATTACACATATTAACTTTTAAAGACAGATATTTTTAAAAAAAAAATTGCCCATTAAACATCTAGTCTTAAAAAAAATTATATTCTAAATGTTATTATACTCTACTTTTTGAAGAGAAAAAGTTTCCGATTCATAGAAAAACTTTTGAAGTACTATTGATGGTTTAGGAATTTTTAAACTTTGTTGAATGTTGGGTTAAACAAGACCAAGAAATACACAAACCATAGTTCTTCAATACCATAGCCAATGCTCTCTTTTTTTTTTTTTTTTTTTTTTTTTTTTGGGAGCTAAGAAACGGATTTCGTTCAAAACAAACCAGTCAACCAAAGAGCCTACAACACAACACAGACAACCTACTACAAGAAGCCTAAAACACCACGGATTTCTGGTAAGCCTACTTACCGTTAGTTTTTTACTGTTAAATCCGGTCAAAATCATATTAAATTAAAAAAAATATACAGAATAGATAGTTTATAAAATAAATCTGATAACTGAAAAGTAAAAAACTACGGTAGTTTATCTTTTCTAATTCAATCATAAAAACTTTCATAACTTTATTGGACCGCAAATTAGTTCGAAACACTTTTGAAAGATACAATATGACTATTAAATGATTATGATAGTATGCAATACAAGCCGGTTCAGAAGTATTCTCTTCTAAAAAACAAAAACAAACAAAGTATTTGTTTTCTTAAGAGATTTCATCAATTTGTTGTGCTAATTAGGCATTCTATTTCATAACATGAACAAAAAAAAAGAGCATCAAGAATCACTATTGTTAGAAAATCAAGGTGGAATTATGTCTTTTCTATTAACAAATCAAGATCCCTGAGCTTCCCCGAGATCCCAACCCTTTTATAGCATTGTTCATGATCATGGCTCAAGTTGAGAAGAAAAAGTGCAGCTGGATAAGTAAACTTTTTGTCACGTACATATTTGTTTGCTACGCTTGACAATGATAAATTTGCTCGTCTGAAGGCGTATAAAATATAAAAGAAAAGAAAAACTGTTTGAAAGAGACCCAGGGGAAGAGACAGAGAGAAAGGAATCGAAAGACTCCAACCAAAGTCATCCGTCCTGAAATTCATTACCCAAAAAAAAAAAAAAAAAAAAAAAAAAAAACCATCCTGAAAAGAAAATTTTTAAATAATAAAAAAAAGAAAATCAACAATGCAATTATTAAATCAGTGTACAAAACACATAAAAACCGCGGGCTCCACCACAATCTGGTTCCCTTTATAAAAGTGAGAGTGATTTTTTTAGGAGCACTCACCTGAGTGTCTTTGGAAAAATACTGTTTTCTTTACTTTTTGAAAACCAATGGCCCCCCTGCTTAGCCTAGCCTTGAAGCGTAGTGACTGATTGTTTTTTTCCCCCTCAAAAAATCCACTCAAAATAATATTAGCATATACATGATGTAAATAAAGGAAAACAGAAAATTAGAAAAGAAAATCTTTTACGCCCGTTTAGAATTGGTTTCAAAATCATTTTTCACGTTTTTCAAATAAAAAAAATGAAAATAAGTAGATAGTGACGTTCGGAGAAACTAAAGACAAAAAATAAAAATAAGAGCACTTTTTTGATTTCACGTAAAATTAGAGAGATTTTAAAAATGACTTTTAATCATTTTTTATTTTTTATTTTTATTTTCTTCTCTTTCAAACAGAGAAGATAGTCTATTCATGACAGTGCAAGGAACAATTATCCTTTGTACTTACTTTACAAGTGACAGCTGGCACACATATATACATAAAAAAGAGCCAAAGTGCATGCATAGACGTGCTTGAGTTGGAAACTTCCTTCTAAGACATTAATGATTATTTCTTTAGATATACAAGAAAGAAATATTTTCATTTTCTTATTTAATATATTATTTTAAATACTATTATATGTTTTCAAAAATGTATGACCAAACGAAATTTCAATTTTTTCTTATACTGATAACAATCTATCGATAAAATTACTAAACGCATTTTCAGAAATGATTTATAACTGATATTCATACGTTTTTATTTCCATTTTCATACTAAAAACATAATCATTTTAGAACGGGTTCCAAATGCGCACTTATTTTTTTATGAATAAATTGTAAAGACAAACAGAAACTGAGAAATTAGTAGCGAAAGGAGAATTAAAAATTGGAGACACTAGATTACAACAAATATAATAAACGCAACATAAACGAAAATGAAATCTACAAAAATGTAAATAGAAATGTCGATAACGAAGAGTCAAAGTTTATTTTTACATGGTGTTCTTAAAATAAATTCACTCCTTATTGCATGAACACGAGGTTCAGTTGGCGTCCGGCCACTTAAGATATAACGACATATTAGTAGCAAGAGCTCATGACAATGCTACTCCGGTAAATTGAAATATTGTCTAAACTCTGCCACACTAAAAAGCCTAAGAGTGTGTTTGGTTTGATGGAAAAGAAATGAATACAATAGAATGAAATTCAAGTACGATGTTTGGTTGGATTTATAAAAAAAAAAAAAAGAATGGTCATTTAAAAGGAATGACTATTCACCTATTTTAAGTAAATCATCATTTTTTTCTCACATGGGAGGAATAGCCGTTCCAAACTCTTTTATTATTTTTTTTCATAATTACCCTTGAATATTATAATATAATTACAACATATTATATAGTAGTTATATCTTATAATATGTAATATAATATAATATATAATAAAAATATTATGCTATAATATTATATATTATAGTTATAAATTATAACATATGTATTTAATATTCTATAATAATATATTATATATTATGATGTAATTATACTTATAATATAATATATTATATTATAATATAATATAATATAATATAGTTGTAATATTGTAACAAATAATATTATGATTATATTAATAATTCTAATATTATTATTTTAGAGAATGAGTGAAATAGAATAATTAGTAAGGTGATTAGTAAATTATAACATAAATTTTAAAAATATCTAGTTTATAGTATAATTTAATATCTTAAGCTTTTAATAATATTAAAAACTCAAAAATACCCCTCTCATTCTTCTCTCTCTTTCTTCTTCCTCCCTTTAGTCCACCATAGTCGGCGTCGGTGACCGACAGCTGTCGCCGGTGACCAGTGATCAACGGTCGTCGCCAGTCAGCTAGCAACCGGTAAATACCGTATTTATTATATTTATTTAAAAAAAATTTAACGGAATTAACCTCTGGAGGCATGTTGACACAAATAATAAAATTTAAGAGCACAAATGCACATTGTAAAGTTTAAAAAGCATGTTAATACAAGTGACAAGATTCATGAGAATTTATAAAAATTATCATAAAATTTAATTACTAAAATCAATGAGAATAGGTTACACAACAAAAAATAATTATCATATAATTTTAAAAAGATTAACATTGAATATCACCGGATCATATTACCACAACTTCCCATACTTTTCTAGTTTTCTTTATCGTTTCCTAAACGACAACTCAGCATCACATACAGGTCACATTCGCAGGCTCTGACATTACACATTTTACCTTTTATGTGTTACGACGGTATCGATCTTTTTTATTTGATTTTATAAGCAGATTTACTAAATTGTCCCTTCAGCCACCCACTGTAATTACAAATTTGCACCTACAAATTATATCATACTCTCATAGCCTGACATTGTAGTGTCCTAGAAATCCGTGCAAAGCAATCAACTTTTTATACAAACGGTTATATCCCACTTGCAACAATTCGTGGAATGACATTCCACTTTGCTTGATTACGTGGAATTGCAGCAATGTCCTATTATTATTATTATTATTATGGGAATTTCTCTGATACATCTCCTTATTTGCCCTACCGGTAGTCCACGTAAAATTCTGTTTGACTTAACTTTCATTGGTTCATTCTCTGCCGTTATATCATCTAACGGTGCACCCGAACACACAATAATATTATTTTAGATTCTTTTACCATATGGGAATCATTAGAATAACACGTGGCGCATCTTGGGCTAACTTCAAAAGAAACAAATAAGAAATTGCCCAAATGTGAAGTAATTAGAATTTGAAGAGGACTTTGTAAAAATAATCTAATAAAAAAGTTGTATTCATAAAATGATAATTTAAATATTTTTATTTGTAAAATATTTTTTTTTTTAAAATATGACAATTAAATAATAAGTAATAAAATTTAATGAGATGACATGACAAATTTAACTTTTTAGAGAAAGAAAAATGAAAAAAAAAAGAAACTTCAAATCCTCCATCGAGCTCCCTTCTCCTCCCTCACGTACTGTCATGGCATTTTTTTTTATTTTTTCACATTCATTCTCCCCAGCCATCATAGATCCGCAAGATTGAAGAAATTTTTGTCATATTTTGTTTGATTAAGTGCTTTAAAGAAAAAGAAATTATTGAAAGAACTTGTTTGGAGAACAAAATTTAGAAGGTTAGTTTTTTATTCTAAATCTCTTTGAATGTTTGTTTTGGACGACATTTATTTTGAATATTATAGGTGCATTTAGCCGAAAATTTTACTATTTGTAAAAGAAAAAAAAAGCCTTTGGGTTTGGAAGATGTCAGATGACGAGGTTGAAGATGACAGATCGCGCGCGACCTCTTTGGCTAAAACTTGGTCGCGCGAATGACGGAGGTCGTTCAAAGTGGGTCGCGCACAACTATCATCCAAGAGGAATGATCTGGATTTCTTTTCGCGCGATCATAGCATAATGAGGGTCGTGCATCTTTTTCTTTCCAGAACGACTCCGAGCGACCTTAGAAATTTGTTAGCCGTTCAAAGTAATTCGAGGTCGTTCGGAGTCGCACTGATTTTTTTTAAAATGTTAATATTGTTTATATTTGTGATATAATTTTTGAATTTATGTTTTTCTTTTAACAATTATATTTCAAAATTTATTATAGGTATGGCTTTAATCTACATCTTTCTAGAGGACGATGGTGAATGGAAAAAGGTGGAGAGCGGATTTTGGGAATGGTTTGGAAGTGGTTTAACCATGGACTTTTTAATTGATAGAAGCACCACATTTGTTGAATTGGTAGATACAATCTATGAAAGAATGAGTATTGATCGAATATGTGCGTCTATAAATAATATATATATGACATTTCAATTATCAAATAAAAAAATATATAAAAAGCATAGGAAAAAAAGACAGGAAAGACGAAACGACCTACGCGTCGTTCTTGGCAAAAAATTCTTGAACGACCTCATAGTTGTTCTTGCACTTTTGGTGGTTGTTCATTGTCTTTCTCGGTTGTTTTAGAATTCATAATGTCTTTAAAATGATAATTTAATTTAATTTAAAATTTCAAGTAATTAATCAAAGTAATTCAAACTCATATTATAAGTACTTTGATCACGTATTCCATTATTTATGTTTTGAGAAATTTATAGTATTACTTAAATCATTTAAATCAAAATTAATACATAATAATTAATTAATTTTAACAATATAAAAGACCCATAACCAATGACAAGTCAATTGCTATTTGAAAAAAAAAAGTATTAGAGAGCTGGTTTCTTTAGACAGATTTGGGTTTGAACCCACATTACACAATTCAGATGAATGAAGAAAAAAATAAAAGAAAACAAAATAAAAATGTATGCTTTTGTATTTATGGCAATTTTGTTCCACGTGGGATTCTATAACACGTTTTTTGAAAGAGTGGGTAATCACATAGTACATCTACCTTTTACTTACCAATGTGTCATTGAATTTTAAACCACAGATTTTAATCGGACGTTTCTATTTTACGTGGACCCGGTAGGGCAAAATAAAGGGAGCACCAGAGAAGAGAAGGACCCTATTATTATTAGCAATCTTTGGTTGTGGAAGTCAAGAAAGACACAAGATTCCTAACCTATAGAGCGGGGGCAACGCGTGGGACCCACCGACCACAGCGTCGCGAAGAGGATGACGGCGGCGACAGGCATAGGCGGAGCAGGCAGTGAGATCGGCGGGTGCGAAAGGCTGCAGCGGGCGCTTGGCGATTGCCACCGGCGGTTGCCGCCTGGGCCGGCGCGGGAGTCGGCTTGCCGCCACCTGAATCGCGCCCTGGCGGAGTGCCTCGTGTCGGCTGCTTGCCCCGACGAGTGCGAGGCCATCCGCAGCCTCTGCTCCAGCGCCGGTACCGCACTGAAGCGCTCTCAGTGCCAAGACGCCCAGCTCTCCCTCTCTCTCTGCCTCTCCTCACTTCAACTGCCTCCCTAGCTAGTGAGTTCCTTATCGTCCCTTTTTTGTTGGTTGTTTTCAAGATTTTGTTAAGGGGAATTTTTTTTTTGTTTGTTTTAATGATTGTAATTTTATTCGCGCGATTTTGATTGGAGTTGTTTAAATTTGATCCAGATATCCTTTAAAAATGACATAAAAAGAAAAGGATTACCAATTGTCGTTTGGTGTTGAAAATAATTTGGCATCTCCACAATTGGCAGTTCAATTTGGGAAGAAAATGTTTTCCTTTTCTATTAAGGATGATGAATCAGTGCAAATGATTCGCCGCAAGACCGAAGATCGATTGAGGTGTGTGTATATTGTGCTCCTGTTCAAGATCAACCAACACTTGAGGTATTCAAAAAACGGTTGGTTTTTCATTTGAAATTTATAGTTGAGATGATGCTTTTACACACACACACACACACACACACACATAGTAACTCTTCATATGCCTGTTTAAACTTTGAACAAGAACAAGCATTTCTTGCACTTTCATTGTTACAGTTACAATATTATGTCACCTTTTACTAGACAAAAGTTGTACTTAGTTGCCTTGGCAGGAATGAATTTCTGTTTGGACTTAGGAGTTGTTTGCTTTGCCGCCAAACAGTTTGAACTCGGGAGTTCTAAACATTCCACTCTCGCACTCCATTATTAGATGTGGATGAACACCTCCTCCTAGATCGTTGGCCGTGTCTTCGTTCATTGCTTGCTGTTTTCCAGTTTAAACAAGGAATTCTAACTTGGATATTTTTTTGACAGATGTACATTCTCCTTTTTTATATCTTAAAGAAAAGATGATCGGATTTGGTGTTCAATTACTTCTTTTTATCATATGGAAAGTGCTCTTAGGGTTTGTGAACGAAAAGGCACCTCAGACAATACTTATTGACCAAAAACATGTCTCTTAAAGAATCATTGAGCATGGAAATGCCAACAACTACACGTGCACTTCGCAGCAAAATTTCCTTCCGGGTTCACGAGTGTTTTCAGGGAATGTTACAATGAGCGGAAGACCGAGTTTCACCCTGCAATCTGGAAAATAGCGAGGATACAGGATTCTGAGCTAGGGTGAGGAAGGTGGAAAAATTCTTTTGGACTCCAACACTTTATGACTTGTATGACTAATGCTCACTTAGTTCATTACATTCTTAAATTACTATAATTGGCCAGTCGAATATGCTTTAATCGAACGGTTCCCGAGTGCGCACCAGGCTTTGCTCACTCTGCTCAGTTTTTCATCAGAAAATTTGTATAGTTTCTTGAACTCAAAGAAGGGTAGTTGACTTAGGTTAGGACCAAGGTTCATGAGGACTTCAACATCTGAAGCTTGGTTATTGATTGTGTATCTCGTTTGGTCGAAAAATTAACTGATTACTTCACTTAATTGGACTCAAGTGTTGAAAGAAAACCTCGAAGTCAAATTCTTATCAAATTCTTATCAATTCTTTAAGTTAGCAAAAGCATACAAATGAATAATCTTGCCTATTTATATGCATTTCTTGGCGCGAAAAACAGTTACAATCATTTAAATCTAAACTGTCCACACTAGTGTCACATTCTTTGACTAATTGTTTTTTCTTTCTTTATCAGTGAACGCTTCTTTTATTAAGTTCTCGCTCTATCATCGTTTCTCGGTCTGCTTCGGATTCTCGCGACTCAATTCTTTTTTTGAATCTCCGTTTATTGAGATGTCGTCCTATTGTCTTTCAAATTTCATCAGAATCCAAATCATGTTTCGTTAAAAGAGGCTTCATTTGATTCAACATTAAGGGACTGTGTAGAACAATAAACCTTTTTTTTCTCTGTCATTTCAGCGTGGAACCTCTTCCAGTATTGTTTATCTGAGCTGTTATCATGTTACCTCAGGGAACTTGCGTAAAAATTTATGGGATGTTTGTTTTAAGGGCTTATCTCTGATTCTGAAATATAGTTTTTGATTCTCTACAGTGTTTTTCTCTCACAAAAAATTTGAATTTCAAAAATTAAAATAATAAATTATAGTTCTGAACCCATGAACTAAACGTCCCATTAGAGTAAGAGGTAAAAATTTAAACTCATATACATTTGTCTCTTTTTCTCTTATTACGAATATTAACGTTTTGTTTTTTGCTGGAAATTAGAGTTAACCAATGGATGCATGTAAAAGTACCTAAAATCTGTCTTTTGACTACAGATGAGGTTACTTTACATCAAAAGCCTTCCATTCTTGCAAAAAATTTCAACTGCCTAGACTAGAGCATGCCGAAAGATCACCATCTTTTATTGTTTTTAAGAACTACATGCCAGCAGATAGGATATATATTTATAACAAAATTGAACTGATACTTCTACGACCCCACATATAATTTATCAGTGGTAATCTTTTAGATTACTTTTTATTGTTTTTTTTTTTTTTTACTATTGAGGGTAATTTGGTAATGTATACGTTAGATTTTGACTTATTCTAGTCCAAAAGGGTAGAATTTAGAAATCTATAGTCTAATGTTGGTGGACTAGACATCTAGGGAGGCTCTATTTAAAGGGGTATTTCATTTGACTTCTTTTCTCGCGTCAATTAGTGGAATCCGGGTAGCCATGCAGACTACATGGAGATGGAATTCAGTAACCTACTGGGATATAGTTAGTGGACAGCCTGCATCTAATGCTTCCCTCTGTACTTTCGCTTTTCATTTTGGCGATGGTTCATTCTTAATCCGATAAATATATCTTGGCCTATTGTATTGTTCATCTGCTGCTTTTGTTTTTTGTTTTTTACTTTTTATTTTTATTTTTATTTTTGTTTTTGTTTTGTTTTTTAAAACGAGCTTTGGTTATATGGAACCTGCTATTCATTCACATAACTGATATTCATTTCTGAAGCAAATGAAGCGAGAGCCACACTCCTCCTATTACTTAACAAACACAATTAACCATTTAAAAAAAAAAGACAACGTAATTAATATGGAATCCGTTTGCTGTAATGTACTCAAGGAATGCAAGCATTCAAAACAGGTATTATTTCACTAATATTGGTCCGAGAAAACACACGATATTGTTCATTAAGATACATGTCATTACAGACGGTCCTCCAAAACAAGCTCATACAACATCAAGGCACAAGAACCTGTCTGTATTTTTATTTCATTGTACCTGAGTAAGCAGGCAGCATATACAAACTACTTAGAAAACCTCTCTCGGTCATGAGGAGAAGAATAATCGATATCCGGGCCTGAAGGAATGATGCCGAACGGATTTATTGTCGGATGACTTCCATAATAGTGCCGCTTTATGTGTTGCATATTGACCGTGCTGCTCATTCCAGGAACTTGGAATATGTCTTTGGTGTAATTGAACAAATTTGGGTACTCTCGTAGCAGCTTCTTGTTGCATTTGAAATGAACTGCATAAACCTGTAAATTGTGGAATGATCAAATTGCTAAGCCTCTAGGCCAATATGATTACACAATAATCTCAAAGAAATGGATTCACTAGTGCAAAAACCAGGAATGTTCATTGCTTATTAAGCAGATACATGAAAGTTCTGATGTTTAGTTACAAAAATTAGAAAATTTTAACAGTAGGACATTCATGAAGTTTCTCACAATTCTTGTCTAGAATCATAGTTCTTGATTAAGTCTCATATATTTGTATGACACAGAACGTCAATATTGGCCTAATTTTCAAACAAGATTAAAAAAGAAATGCTTATTTGAGATTCTCAAATATCCATACCTCATCAAATCTTATTAAAGTGACAAATAATCGAACATCTGCTTCAGACAGAGTGTCCCCACATATGTACCACTGCTTGTCAAGTATCTCTTCACATTTGTCCAGAGCTTCATACAACTTTGTCACTGCCTGCAAAAAGAAAGCTCATACATGTTTAAGAGATAGTAACTAAACAAAAGATCGATTTTAAAAACATTAACACCAGAAAACAACATCACGCGACCTCAATACCTCATCATACGGTCCTTGCTTCCTTGCAAACCCACATTTATAGACACCATTATTTATCGCATCATATATCCATTCATTGGTCTGATCAACTTTGGCTTGTAAATGTGGAGGATATAGGTCCAAATCGGGATTCTCTGCTATATCATTGAACTCGCTATTAAACATTCGAATTATCTCTGAACTCTCGTTACTGACGATAGTCTTGAGTTTCTTATCCCACAGAACCTATCAAAGAGCAAAATGCCGGAAGGAGTAGAAGACAAATAAATTAAAATAAAATTAAAAAAAAAAAAACACTTATATGTGGAATATATGTAGTACCGGAACCGTGTATTTCCCGGTGTAGTTTGTACTCGCAAGCTCATAAAGTTCTCTGATGCTTTTTGCTCCATTCAAAGGGTCAGGTTCAGCTCCTGGTTCCTCAGTATAGGACGCAGGAAAAACCCACCCCATGTGTTCATCACTCTGTTTGGTTCTTTCCCATATGGGTTTGACTGACTGAGCAACAAGTTCAACACATAAAGATTATTTGATTTCCAGTCTTGACAAAATGTGAACATCACTAAAGGCAAATTGATACAAAACATACTGTAAAGGTGATGGCTTTCTCAAGTCCTTTGATCTTTAAGTATGCAAGGCACCTAGAAGCCCACGGACAAGCATACGAAATATACAGATGATATCTGCCAGATTCAGCCGGGAATTGGGCTTGTCGGTCTCGCGAAATGAAGTTGCGAAATGTGGATGCAGTTCTTGCAAATGCACCAGAATCTGACATCTCATCCAATGCAGATCGAGCCATTTGAACAGAATGCTACAAGAATCCATGTATGCAGAAATTAGTTATACGTATTCGTCCTTACACTTATTTAAATTTTTTTTTTTTTTTATATATTATAATACCCTAATCCTTTACTACTAAGAGCAATAAATCGAAGAAAAAACAATCAACTAAGAACACGCAAGATTTATATGATTCAACCTTAATGAAAGAGCGACATCCACTTTCAACTACCGCAGAATTTCTCTGAAAAAAAGAAGATAACTAGATAAATCATCTCAGAATCTCCTTTTCTCTTTTACCCCTTGCACCAAAATTAACATCCCTAATGTAACTGAAACTGGGGCAACCAAAAATACAAGTGTGAATTTCTGACTCTGCATAAGAGCAATAATTAGGCTCCGCCCTCTAAACAATACAGTTTGATGAAACATATATATATATATATATATATATACATGTATATATATAAACTCTATTTCCACACAATTATATAAGACTAGTTAAAATAAATTTCCTCATCAGATACTTCACTTGTCCCGGGACTAGAAAGAGATAGTGCACTTTAATATAAACCATTGAAGTTCGCCAAATGCACCAGATCAAATTTCTCCGTTCACTGATTAATATACGAGTTTCGATAAATCTTTCTATTAAGAAAAGATTCTTAAACCAATTTCCCCAAAAGAAAAGAAAACATAATACAATTAAATAATTCGATCCAAATCGTTGAAGTCGTCCAGGAAAGATTCCTGATCCTTTTTTTTTTTTTTTTTCCCCCCCTATCTAATTCAGACAAAGACATTTAAGTGAAGATTTAAACGGAGAAAGTGATTTGATTCAAGAAACAGAGAAGATTATAAATTCAGCTGATAGTATTAGTAGCACAGGGAATTTATTAAAGAATTAGAAAAATCTCTCGGTTTACCTTGAAGGGCTGTGGGAGAGGGGGAGTTAAGGAGAAGTTTCGGTTCAGAACAAGTCTAAACGGTGCAAATGATTGAGTGGAAGGAAGAAAAAGCATTATTTTGTGTTTCTTAGTACAAGTTTAACTATATTATTATTATTAGTATTGTTATTTTGCGCCATTAGTGGTATTCTTTTTTGCTTTCTTTTACGGCGTGCTTGTGTTCTGATCTATAATCTATTACGTCACTTGTAGTGTCTTGCTACTCTTGGTTAGACTTTTTCAAGTCTAAAGCTCTTAGAAAATGTCACATCTCAACTCGAATTGAAAATTTAAATCCGTAAAGTGAACGAGACCACATCAACAAAAGTTATTGAGAAAATGGTTAAGTTTATCAGCGCGAGTCTAAATTTTTATTTTTCATTAACATCTCAATATAATTATTTATTTAAAAAATATTAGTTAAGAGTAAAAAATAAAAATTTAAAATCATACATTTTAAAAGATATTTATCTTCTTATCACAAGGTTTTCAATTTAAAAGAGACAGACTTCACATTTACCCTAATTCTTACGTATTTTAGAAAATTATCGCGTAAGCTTTGATTTTGATATTAATACCAAAAGCTCATACTGTGAGGTACTAAAGAACGAAAAATTCAAGTTTAAGAAATAAAGTACAAAAATTTTAAGAGAGTCGTGTAGCATATTATTTTACTTCATTAATAGAATATGTAAAAAATATGATTAACCTGCAATCCAACGCATGCGACAGGGGAATATAGAATAGATAGCGTTTCTAAATATAACATATAAGTGATGTGACATTATAATAACAATATTAAATAAACCAAAATTTAAGATAAAAACGTTTTTTTTTTTTTAAAAAAAGAAAACTCCTTTCTCCTTTCTCTCTAAGAAATATGATTCGGATAATTGACTTTCTCCTTTCTCTCTAAGAAATATGATTCAGATATTTGACGTAGCGCAAGCAAGTGAGAAAAATAAAAAAAGGAGATAAATTCTTATTATCTGTTGATTTGCGTAAATACCAAAAAATCTATTGATTCAATCGGAATATTGAAAAATAAAATTTTTATAAATCTGTTAATTCGTTCACAAAAATCAAAAAAATAGACATCAATCACTCGTTGATTTAACAGAATACCAATAAAATTAGAATAGATATATTGAGAAAACTCTCAAAGTACATAATTTTATTAATCTCTTAAAGAACTGTCAATAACAATGCTAGGCTATCTTATTTATAGAAGACTACAATTAGAAAACGAAAAGAAAACTGAAACTTATCCTAAATATTTTAAATTTAAAATTTGAAAATAACTAAATTAAAAAATAAAAATAAGAAACAACTAAATAAATAAAAATTCTAATTTTGAAGTCAAGCATCCAATAAATCGGGCAACTTCCAAATCTACTCGTCGTCCCAATGGTCGATCGGCGGTAGTCCAGCGGACGACCGCTGGTAGCTTCTTGCGCTGCATCAATATTTCTCGCTCTTCCACGAGAAATCCGGTGAGAAGGCAACCCAACAGTACTTCAACCTCACCTTTCGCGGCGAAGTCCAAGAAGCTCTCACCGCCCTCGAACGCTCCTCCGATGAGTTTCCACTGCCATCGCCAGCCAACAAGTTTGTCTCCTTCAATCCTGGCGAGCTTGCTGCCTATGTTACCATCTCTTCACATCTGAAAACCGTCTCTTTCTCTCAAATGAAAATTTTATAAAATGCATATTTTTCTATTTCAAATCTTTTTTGATCTTCCCACATTTATTCGGTACTAATTTAGATACGCACGATGCAGTTTCATATTAAGTTGTTATTGAAATTTTTATAATGTGGAATACGAACAACAATATGCAAAGAAAAATAACATAAAAATTCAAAAAGAGCAAACATCAATAGTAGTCCAAGTGAAGAGGTTATATGTAATCATAAAAAGACATGAAGCATTATAAATTCTAAAAGATAAAATAAAGAAAAAAAAAAGGAGTAGAAACTTAAAAAGGGAAGGACAAAAAAAGATAAGACACCTAAAACTCACTTTTAGGGACTATTATGCAATAAACAATAACCACATCAATAAAATAAACTAACTATAATTAAAGTGAGAATTGATTACGAGCAAGGAGATTTATGCAATGAGAAAGTTGTCCCTTTTTTCTTTTCCATTTTGGATCTAAAGGTAATTGAGTTAAGACAAAGGGATGTTTACATTATTTCGATAATAAAAAGGAGGTGTCGGTATAAATTGTCTCTTTTATAAAGGATAATCGTCTTTAATACAACTAATTTGTCCGGACTCTAACATGAGGAGTCGATTTTGTTATGATTAGAAAAATATAGATAATCTCAAAAATGTAGAAAACATATATGGATTCTTTCATTTCGATTAAAAATAAGAGAGGATTTTTGTTAATAATATTACACAGTTTTATAATAATGATCGACAATGGCTAATGTTTAAAATTGTAACAAAGTGTTTAGCAATGTAATTTACCTACCGTAGCTTGTCATTTTTAACTTGGCAAAACGGAATACACATTAAAGTCATGTTCATTTCACTGATTCGAGTTTAGAATTCGAATTTTATTACAGTAAAAAGCTCTTAGAAATAGTCACATCTAACTTTTTTACTACAGTATAAAACTCTCACATAAAGTCACTTCTCAATTCGAATTAAAAACTCAAATCAGTAAACTAAACATACCTTTAAATTTATTCTATTATTATATTCTCGTAAAAATATTTTTGCCTATGGAATATGGATAGATGAAAACAAATCACCTATTTCGGGGTTCGAATTCACAACACGAAACAAATTATGTACCCGATAAACCTTCCAATCGTGGCATTAGAATCTTTTCTCAACTTTCGCACTAGTACGAGAGCTCTTCTCAAGAATTTTGTCCTTGGTCTTGTTGTGCGGCATATGTGTGACAAGCATTCAAATTGATTAAATTACGTAGGGAAATATTTATATTATTCTCTTTCTGTCGTTCTTTTTATCATCTTCTATATTCATTATTTGACACATAGACTCTATTAATATAATATATTATTATTTAAATGAAAAATGAGATAATAGAATCTACGTGTCAAACTGTAGAGAGTGATAAAACGAGTGACAAAAAGTATGATGATGCATTTCTCAATTACGCATCATGGATTATCAAATGAAAAGGTAAGTTTACAGAATCCAGACAAACGCATACTATTACTAACTCATCATTTATTCGCACAAAAACAGAACACATTAGTTTAAAATTCTCCTAAGTATATTTATATCCTTTTTTCGTATCATTTGAATTTTGTGGATTGGGCCAAGGAAAGACTAAGTCATTTGCATGCTCCAGTTCTGTGTAGCCGTAAACGCCATCGTCATGAACTTCCCAGTAGCAATAGGTTGGGCATCTCCAATTACTATCCCTCTTTGCTTTGTATATGTCGTACGTTGCCGACGCGCCGCGCCAAGTAAACTGACAGTGGAAGCGAGTCGTCACCCAGAAGTTGACTCGAAATCTCCATGAAAAGGTGCCGTTGAAGGGTAAGATGTGAACTCCGAGATCGTCGTCCGCAGACTGGCAATGAAGCTTCACTTCTTGCATTTCCGGCAAGGCGTTGCGAATTTCGACTTTGATTTTGGGAGCACCGAATAGAGCTCTTTCACGGTATGGCGCAGGCGCGACATGACTAGTACTTATGGCACTTGTGCTTGTAACTAGAGAAGAAATAAACAATAATGCAAGCAACCAAACTTGTGACATTCCGGATTGACTCATATTTTTGTTGAGGTTTAATTTGTACAAAGAACTACCACGAGAAAATACAAGATTGATATGTCACAATGTAGAACACGTCTTCTATTTATTGACACATACATGATCTCCAACCAGCAACTAAATAGGCAAAAAAATAATATAGATAAGGACATTAGTCCAATAATGAAAGAATATTATTAAAAATGTATGAGGTAATCCATAAGATTCTACTGGTTTAGATTCTCGGAATCTCGATACACGAATGGTCCAAACAAGGAATCCATATATAGAATCAAATCCGCTCATGCTTTTAATACCAAGATTGGTTCTATCAAAAATTTAAAAAAGAAAAAAAAAGAAAAGGGTTACAAGATTGGTAGAAAAAAGTGTTGGAAAGGTTTTGAAAATGTAACAAGTACACTTTAACAATCCAACCCAATGACGAAATCAGTAATTGATCCCAGGAAACCATGGGATAACAAATCTATAGTTTGTTTTGCCTTTTATTAAATGGAGATCCATGAGTAAAAAGAAGATTAATTTTTACCCCTACTCTTGTTTAATATGGTTTTGACTAATATAGTTTATTAATTAAAGGGTATTAATGACGAATAAAAGGTAAAAATTTAAAACTCGTATTTGTCTCTTAATAAAGTTATATCTGTGAGTGAGGCTATAGATGTCTGAGGGTGTAGATATCCTAAATGTTTTACCATATTTAGCTTCTCTAATAACTTTTCGCTAATTGGTTAAAAAGAAAAAAATCCACACGGCAATCAAAAGACGCTTAGCAATAAATGAGTACCTTTTTTTTAATGGAAAGAAGTCTACCCAGTTCAAATGAAGTTTATTAAACAAGCTGTCTGTCTACTCAGTCAAATGAAGCTTCACAGTGTTCGAATCGCAGACGGCTGGAATTTTGAAAGGGATAATTCTGAAGATTTTTAACAACCAAAATTCAAATTTAAAGTTGGATCATGATCATATACGAACCTTGGTCAAGTGGATTGTATCTAAACTACCCCATACCTAGGCTGTGCTTATTTAAAGAGATCACATTGTGATATGGTTTTTTTTTTTTTTTTTTTTTTTTTTTTTTTTTTTTATTTTAAAAAAAATAAAATCAGAGGTAGTAGTACTAGGCTTTATTTATTGCTCTCAAACCCTGTTTTGGCTCGAGTCCAAGGAGGAGCTGAAGGGAAATCGCGTTATAAGTACGTTAGTTGGACAAATAGCAACTAAAAAGACTTGGGTAATACGCTAAGTTTGAAAGCAAATTGCGTGAAGAACAGGCATCATGAATTGTGCATTGTGTAGATTCTAAGCTCTCTTAGAGCCCGTTTGGTTCATGAATTAAAATTATTTTCGATTTACGTGTATTTTTTGTGAAAGAAACTACTATAACAAACTATGAACCATAATTCGAATCAGAGAACGAATCCTCTAACCAAACATGCTCTTATAATTCCAATCTTCACAAGTGTAATTTGATGTTTAGTAAAATTCCCTTTTGATTTGGTGTTATTAGCAGTTAGCACCAGAACCATAATGTTGCGCCATTTACTCTTTCACAACTTTAAAAAGTCATTGCCTGAAAAAACAAAAGTTCGGCCATTTATTGACCAGGTGGCCAAAATATCATTTGCCCAAGTTTTCTTGAAATTTTCCTTTCCATTTAGCCTTAAAAGATTAAGGATTATTTTAACAAATACCCCATTAAAGATTTTTGAGTCTCAACATTAACCTATTAAATTTTGCCCCTCCAGAGTAAATAATTTGATAAATTATTATCGATAATTTAACACATCACCGGCGGCCAGTCTCCGATTGCCGGTGACGGATATAATTTAACAAATTATTGTCTAAAATTTGATAAATTATTATCTATAATTTGACAAATTATTATCAAAGAGATAGCCTATCACAACAAAATAATAGAACTCCATAAGAATGTGTTTAAGGGTCAGTTTTTGCAATTTTCTCAAAAATTAAAGAAGAATAAAACCGATCACAGAAGCTCACAAGTGAAAGTGCGCACCACTTTACTATTAATCCCATTTCGGTTCCATGTACTAAGAAAAGCTCCAAAATTTTAATAATCTTACACTAAATAAAAGAATACATTAATGATTAATCTTCGGGCAAAAACTAAAAATACCACTCTAGTAAAATATATATATATATATATTTATGCAACTCCCTTTAGAAATAAACAAGTTCCATTCAATTAATAAAGAGTGACACCTAGTTATTTATAACGATGTAAATAATATGCCTACACAAAATCACGATAAACCATGCACTTTTCTCTTAATTCTTCCTCAAATACAAAGAAACTTGTGATGCTCGAAGCAGTTCTTATATTCTACATTAGTGATAACAGTCCAAAATTTTAATTTGCACTCGTTTTTCCTTCTATTTCAAGTTTCTGAAGACAATTATTCGTGTACAACTCTTGCATAATTAGACCATTAAACCTATCTATGTGTGTTATTCTATCGTGTTTTATTTGTTGTTTAACAACCATTGAACGCATCCAAATCGGAAAGCTGATCGACGATGTCGACATATGCGCCAAAACTCTAGGATAATAAACACTGAAGTAATTGAACTTTCGTATGAGACATCATTAGGTGGATGTGTGGAGCAAAATGCAAACTTAGCAGGTAGCGGAAAACCTATCTCGACGCGTCGGGTAAAGCGACAGATGCTCCTGAACAAGCGTTGAGATTCAGCCAATTATATGATCGATATTGTATACTTTGTAGCACCCCAATTTCAAGGTGTATTTCTATAAGGGCAGATTATGTTATGGAACCAAGGATGCATAAATGCGATTGTGTGAGGTGAAAAGAGGAAAAGAATCAGTCAGAAATTTCCATGTCAACAAAAACTTACCTTGATCTTTATTATTCGAAGTCACAAGCCCTATCATTTCAGTTCAACATGTTTGCTTATATCTAGTCAGTGTAACTTGTATCCTAAAAAATTATGGCATTCGTAACTTTCACCCATGTTACTGTGTTTTTGCCATGTTTGGTTCTTAATGTGGATGGAAATCTAAATCTTGTTATTTCGGGGCAAAATGTATTCTGCAATCTCAGAATATGAGATACCTGCTTCCACGACAGCTTGCTATGCTAAGGTTGCTCTCTTGCCCTTTGCGTCTCTCGACTGCAAAACAAAATCTTTCCCATAAGCTAAATTTCTTGAAAAAAAAAAATGAAAAAAAAAGAGCAGGAGTGAGGAGTTTTTTTGAAAGCATATTTGTCAGAGGACCTGGGCAGCAAGAGATCTCTTTGAATCCAAAAATTGGCTGTAGATTCCATATAATCTTTGCTTCTCAGCTTCTGAAACAGATGGTCTTGCCCTAGAAGCAGTAGACTTTACGAGAGAATCAGTAATGAGTGGCTTTTTTCCAGGTTCATGTATGCTTTCACCACCCAGAAGGTCGTGAATTGCTTCGAGCTGCGCATCTGAGAGCAGAGCTTGAAGATCAGCTCCGCTGAATCCTTCAGTCATACAAGCTATGGCATCTAAATCGACGTCGTTGGCCAGTGGTAGCTGAATCAATTTCAAGAACCAAAATATATTTACATTCTATGTCAAGCGAACGTATGAAAGGAAGAAAGTCTTATTATTTCTGAAGAGTCAAGAAATTTTTGCTTTTCTTTCCCTCGTCTTAAAATGGAGAGCTTATGTTTACCCATAATAGCATCCAACCCATAACTCTAGTATATTAATTATCTGATTCAAGTGACTGGCTTCCTAAGCAGTATATTTTGATGAGCCATAGGATAAACATTCTCTGAATCGACCAGCAAAAGGAGCAAACTTCACACCTATTGACCATATTACACTTTGTACCAAGTTATTAATTGATACACCACAAAGAAGGCATTTATGCATTTATCATTCTGTTGGCACTAACCTTTCTAGAGAGAACTGTAAGAATATCCAATCTTTCTCGTGGAGATGGGAAATCACAGAAAAGAAGGCGATCTAGCCTACCAGGTCTTAAAAGTGCTGCATCAAGTAAATCCGGTCTACTGCTTGACATGAAAAGAATATGAAACATGAAAATACAGGTTAAAACCATCATATAATCTTGCACCCAAATCCATTATATTACAGGTGGAGGAAAGAGGTAAAGAAAAAAAAATGCTAGGGACAATTAAATACTGTATTTTTTGTTTAGTGCATGAAAAAAGGAACAAAAAAAAAAGGGGGACAAAAAAGCAGAAATCTGTAAATATGATCACAATATATCTTTATCAAGACAAGGAAAACGATCTGAACCCATCATGCAAACAGACTGTGTTATCTTTAAACGAACTAAAATAAATGATATCAAACACAAGACTTTACCTCTAATTTTTATGTGTTAGAGATAGTTAGTTTGTTACTAATTCAGTTGTAATTAGCTTGAGTTAGAGCTTAACTGTAGTTAGGTATAAGCTTAGTTAGCTAACCATCTGAGTTAGTATATAGTTTTTAAGTAGCTGTGTAACAAACTTCCAGATTATTCATTCATTCATAACAGAATTCATTTTACACAAATTCTCTCTCTCTCTTGCTTTCTCTTTCTCTCTCTACATTTCGTTTCCTATTATTATGAATCACTTTGGTTAACAGGAGACAGTCCTTAGGTTAGGACTAGGTTACTTCTACCAAGGTTCTGTGTATCACATGGGCCAATGGCATTTGTTTTCAGTACTACATTGGATAACGGTAATTGTTTATAGGAATATTTTTGTTAATCTTTTCACCAAAATGCTGAAAGAAACTGAAGACAAATCAGAGTAATTTAACTGAAGCATCAAAACTGCTTAATTTAACTGATTTTTAGAACAGTAAAACAGTAAAACTGATGCAGGACCAAGAGAAAAAGAATGTTGGGAAGAGAGGGCTAATTTCAAAAATCTGATAAAGTCATCAAACAAAGTTAAAAGTTTAACGTGATCTAGTCAACTTAAAGATAGGCAATGCTCATACGACTAGGAAACTTAAAAAGCTATCATGCAGTCTATCAAATAAGATAAACTCAGCCCCAAAAACATAATTTACAAAAAACTGTGCAAATTAGCATGATCAAGACAGCCAGCTACAGAAAGATCTTCAAGAAATATTACAAATTTAAATAGTACAGATGAGCAATGAGTTGAGTGCTGGGCCAACAATTTTTAATCTGAAATATTCATTGATAAACCATAAGATAATGAATTAAACAGAGAAGTCAAGCCTTCGTTTAAGATCTATCAACAACTAAGATGCAGAAATGATATAATCATAACACAATAACGAACTGACCTCGTAGCAGCGAAAACAAAAACACCAGTCAAAACTTCAACACCATCTAATTCGGTCAGAAACTGCAACAATGGGAAATACGAATTGAGAAACCTACTCAAATGAAAGAAGACGAACAATGGGACAAGCAAAGAGGGATGCTAACCTGATTAACAACACGGTCTGTTACTCCAGTATTGTCATGTCCTCTCTTTGGGGCAATGGAATCAAATTCATCAAAGAAGAGAAGGCATGGTGCTGCAGCAGCTGCTTTAGAGAATATATCACGCACCTATCAGTGAACACACAAGCATCAACTGTACGCAACACTACCATTATCAAAAATTCAAAGGCACTCTTTTGTTAAAGGGTCTTGGTATTCATGTTCTATTTTCCCCTTGTAACACAGTCACCTATATGTGATTCCCCACCATACTTATATCTGTTGGAACAAACTGCAACCCATGTTCTCTTAAATAAATGCCTGATTGCAGAAATTTCTATCGAGAAGTTATGGTATACATTAAAAAGCATCTAATTGTACCTTCTCTTGGGAAAGAAAAACAAGCATTTTCTAAGTTAGCTTTCTTATGAGGTGAGAAAATCATAGAACAATTTGGTCATATTGTTTACGTTCTTCTACAATTTCATGCAAATTTTTGGAAAATAACATACTCTATGGAAAGAGAAACAAGCATTTTCTAAGTTAGTTTTCTTATTAGGTGAGAAAATCATAGACAATTTGGTCATATAATTTACGTTCTCGTACGATTTCATGCACATTTTGGAAAATAAGACAACAAAGGCAGTTTAACAAGAGGAATATAATTTGCATCTTACAGCTTGCTCGGAAGCACCGATATACTTATTCAACAGCTCAGGCCCTTTCACTGATATAAACCGTAAAGAACAAGCAGCAGCAGCAGCACCAACTATGTGTGTCTTGCCACAACCAGGGGGTCCATATAATAAAACATTGGAACGCAATCTTAAAGGAGCTTTTGCAAAAATATTTGGGAACTTCGAAGGCAACTCAATCATCTGGTATTAAGAAGAGAAGTTTGAAGTTAATACGATAATAAAATCTGATCAGAAGAGGGGGAGAAAAAAGCATTGCTGGAATATGTACCCAAAAGGAACGCAAACTAGATTTACATGCTGAGATATATGTGTATTATGGTAGGGAAATGCATGCCCATCCCTTCTTACTGAAAGGAAATTATCGAAGATGTTCTAGACCATCTGATGCAACACTAAATTGACTATATACAACCTATATGATGCGAGGAAGATAGAATGAGAGCATCAAAGCTAAATATAATCAGATAAATGAAAACTATAAACTAATAACATTAATGTATTTTACCATAATCAACATATCCAGTCAACCATAGAACTTTATATTGCAAAAACATCCGTACAAGATTTCAGACAAGAGTAAGAACAAATTATTGAGTTCAAAATAAAGGAGACATGGAAGAGACTCGTGTTATTTGGAAAATGAAATTAATCCCTCTTTTGAATTCAGAAACTGATATTTTGACAACAATGGTTTCAAATATGCAGTATGTACTAGAAAAATATCTTGACAAAATATATCCTGGAAACCATAGAACTTTAAATTGCACAAACATCCGTACGAAATTTTAGACAAGAGTACGAAGAAATTGAGTTTGAAATAAAAGAGAGGGAAGAGACTCGTTCTTATTTGGCAAATGAAACTAATCCTTTTTTAAAACCCAGAAACTGATAATATGACAATTTGTTTTAAATTACTAATTAATTTGTTCACGAAATAAAAAAGAAGGAAAAGGTTTACTTTTCTTTTTATTTAAATACAATCTCATCAAACGTTTAGAAAGAAACCATACAACTTATGAAGATCATATTCATAAGAATCCATAATATTCTACTTCTTGAAATTCCAAACCTCATATTTTCCTCAAAATAACAAATTAATATTTATATTAGAAATCTAGAAGATAATAAGTAAAAGACCTCTTTAATTGCCTTCTGAATGTCGACAAGACCACCAACATCATCCCAGCCAGACCGACCACTATCAGGAGCAGATTTAGTAACCTCCCGCATGGAAACTGGAAGGAAATCATGCATTGCCCGAGAAAAGTCATCCTGGAGTAAAGTGGGCTTTTCGTATTTGTCGAAAGAAGAGTGGCAAGCCATATATCGACCAATAGCAGCGTGAACAGTTCTATCAACCAATATTTCCTGAAATAACAACGTTGTTCACATAAATAATTTCACTAGTGTGGATTTCATGCTAAAGCCCATTCCACTAGAAATGTAAAGGCATTAACAACCGCAAATGTGTAAAAGAACATCTGTGTGGGTCTACATTTTCATTTTTTCACGAAACAAGATTTTCACGGGATACATTTGACACTAAATTTCAGAAAAGAAGACGCAAGTTCTAAATGGGTGAAAGAAATGGAAAACCAATACGTAAATTGAAAATACATTGTGGTAACCATGAAATTTGAAAACAAGTCATGACCAGAGTAATTTGCATTCGCGAAACTTTGATCATTTGATAAATCAATAATATTCTTCACTCTTCAATCAAAAATCTTTGTCAACCTCATAAAATTACCAGCTCCATTCTTGTCACATTCAATAATCAAACTATAGCTCTGGCTCCTGAAAAATCTTCTGAATCCACCTTATTTCCCATGTACCATAGCCTTTTTTGCCACATTACAAAGCCATGTTGCTCCTCCGATGTCAACATCCACATTAGAGCTTCTAACTCTATTTCTCTCATTACAAATACTCCTACCAAACTCGTTCATTTTCATTTTACAGTTTTGATCATGATAATATTGAGCGCGTTTGGAACTCGTACCAAAATGATTTTATTTTTTGTATGAAAATGAAAATGAAAACGTTTTCAATCTCAGATAGAATTCATTTTTGAAAATGCATTTGGTAGTTTTATCAAGAGATTGTTTTCAGTATAAAAAAATCCATTAATGTCTCTCTCTGCTTGAGAGAGGAGAAAACGAAAACAAAAAATGAAAAACGACTAAAAGTCGTTTTTCATTTCTCTCATTTTACACTAAACTAAAAAATCGTTTTCATTTCCATTTTTTATTTTTATTGCGCCAAACGCCGTTTTGGAAACGTTTTCATTTTTTCTTTCTCAAAAAACGTGAAAAACAAAAACGGGATCAATTCCAAACACTGCCATTGTTTCTTGGAGCTTTTGGGTATCTTGGAAGGGGTTAGGCCGAATGTGAGTTTGTCAAATAGATGGGTTTGGGATCTTGAGGGTCATGGGCTGTTTTCCCGTAAGTCTTACTTCAACTTCTGGATTGATGATCACTCCCTGATTTCAAATTCTATCACTTTATTTGGACAGCCTCGGTTCCTATTAAAGTTCAAGTGTTTAATTGGCTGCTTGATTCTAGTAAACTTAACACTCCTGATTTGTTGCAAGAAGAAAGCCTTATTTATTTCTGCCTCCCGGTTGGTGCGTTCTTTGTAGAAAAAATGAAGAAACTGTTGATCATCTATTCCTACATTGTCCCTTTTCCCTGTGCATTTGGTACTGAGTTTTGTCTAAGTTTAAAGTTTCTTGGGTGATCCCAAAAGCGATTATGGAAATCTTCAATGGTGATTTTTTGGATAGTAGAAGGCGAAGGCTTTGGAATGTTGCTACTCTTTCTGTCACTTGGGCTCCTTGGTTAGAGAGGAACAACATAATTTTTGAGGACATAGAGGGAGATGTTAACATAGTTTGGGACAGAATCAAGTTGTGTGGCTTTATGGTTGTCTCAAGTTAAAGGCCTCACTGCTTTTCCTTTTTGGATTTGCTTTGGGGATGGGATTTAGTTCTTCATTAGATTTGTGTTTGTTGGGGAGACACCACATGTGAAACTAGCTCAACATACTTCAGAAGCCCAACTTGACCCAAAAGGTTAACCTATTGGGGTCCTTCCATGTATGTAAAACCATTTCACATCCTCATCCACTTTCCATGTGGGACAACACACACATGAAAGATAAAACATTTAGATCAGGATTTTAAAACTAAAAGAAGTTTTATTGATCAATGAAGATTGTCTGTGGAAGAATTTTAAAAAACTTGTTCATTTTGAAAATAAAAACTTTGTTTAGTTTCAAAATCCTGATCTAAATGTTTATACTTAACCGTAACAGTAAAGTATAACCATGCAACCTAATTGAAGGATTCTAGAGAGAAGGAAGAGCTTCTCTCTCTAAAAACTTCATGAAAGACAAAACATTGTGGTAATGGCCAAAGCACAAAAGCACAACTCATAACCATGAAATTATGAAAATGTCATAGAGACCAGAGTAAATTGCATTCATGAAACTTTAATCATACTATTAAAAAAAATAAGACAATCAGAATACCAGATCATATGCATCATAACCGTCGCATTTTGAAGCTACGTCCTGTAAGATGCTTTCAGAACATTGCAAGCAACGCTTCCGGATTTCATGTTTCAGTATGGCTGCACGTTCTGAGGCAGCAGGAGCCAGCAGTTGAACATGAAAATCAAACCTTCCTAATATTCAAAAGAGAAAGCATGAATCTAGCATGAAGAATGTAGATAAGAAGAGCCAGACAAACAACACTAAGATTTAGGGCAAGCATAAGACATTACACAATAACAGCCAAAAGAAGAAAACCCTACCTGAAGAGCTCAATGACTGTGGCAGGCTCTCTAAAGACTGTACAGAAGCTATGAAAGCAAGGGGACCAATTCCACAAGCCAGCTTCCTCTTTTCCTAGTCAGTGTATTAATAACTGTATTAGCCAGCTAGGATAACAAGACAATGGAATTGCATCCAGTCACCTCTAGTGTTTTTTTTTTTTTCCAATTTTTTTTTTTTAAAGAGAATGAATTTATTTTATAGTTATGGAAATCATAATAAAAGGCATTACATTAATAAAACAAGGATAAGACATCCTTAGGTATGAACTAAGAAACAGAGCAAAACAAATTTAACCATTACATCCAGCAACGAATGTTTACTTGAAAAAGATTTAACACTAAGTGCTCAATTATGAAGTTAAACACTTGTGAAAGTATTAGCTTACCAATCCATCTCAAAAACTTAGGCTCCATTCACTTTGCAGGTTCGAATTAGGTGGTTTTGAACTTTGGGGCTTGAACCAAAAGTTTTGAACCTATGTGAGTTTTAACTCTGGTTCAAACTAGTGTTTGGAAGTGTAATGTTAACCATCATGTCATGGAAATAAAATCTGAACTGGTGTTGTTTGGTTAGTGTGAGAATCATTAGTAAACCTAAATTAGCCATGATTTTATTGTAGCAAATACGTTCAAACATATTAGAACTCAGGGGGAGATTAAGTTTGCCAAAGCCCATTTTGGATGGGATTAAACATCACATTAAGGTTCAAAACCCATCTCAACAAATGCGCAACCAAACATCAATTTGAGCAGTCTCATGGGTTAAAACCACAAGAATCCACAATATGTAACGGCATCTTAAGCTATTAAGAAGTGGGCCAACAATAGTTTTATATTCTAACACTCCCCTCACGTGCAAGCCGGAAATGGGCAAAGGTGCGGGTAAATATCAAGCCCAACACAAGAAGAAGCCCAAAATGTACTAATGGTCCAAGACGTAATAACAATTTTAAGGGGGATAAAAGTGAAACTAAAGAAGTTTAAACTCAAGACCACCTACTCTAGTACCATGTTAGTTTACCAATCCATCCAAAAGCTTAAGCTATTAAGAGGTGGGCCAACATTAGTTTTATATTCTGACAGAAAGGACGCAAGGAAGAATCTTCATTATAAAGTTTCTCCTTCCTAGTGTATTATGTGTAAGGGAGAAGAGAAAACAATTGAACATCCGCTCTGAACTACTAACTAAAGTTGGTTTCCTTCGAATTTACGCTGCAAAATGTAACTCATTGTTGATGGGGAAACCAATGCGTTTCTAAGAATTTCTGTTGGAGAATATTTCTCCTTCCTAATCAGCCGTGGGTAAGGATTGCTACTCATTGATTTCATCATCAATATAAGGAAGCTTTCTTGTAACCCAAAAAAAAAAAAAAAAAAGAAAAGAAAAAAAAGCCTCAACTATAAATTAGTGATGCATGACATGGTTGAAAAATAAACGCACAAGTCAACATCAACAGCTTGAAGCCAATCGTATCCAAATAAAGCAACAAAACAAGGAAAGATCTTCATACCCTATATTCATCTATAATGTCCGTTAGAAATTCTGCAAGTGCAGTGGCAGAGCTTGAAGCTTGAGATCCCTCTGAGTCGGATGAAGATGCAATAATGCAATCGAGATCATCAAGGATGACAAGGGATGGCGCATTATCCAAAGCCTCTGATATGTGGCCAGAGAGTGCTTGGCGAATGGATGGGGCCTTTTCCAGAGAAAGTTTGGAGCAACATACAAAAACTCTGCAAACATAGACCAAGATTATTCCAAAAATTTCAACACCAGAAAATATCAAAAATTCTAAACCGAAAGAAACTTGGAACATAATTCAACAACGTATTAAATTTTACAATTTTTTTCTCCTTTTGACAACAAAAAGACGAGCTACCTTTGAAAATAGAACAACACAAACACCAGAATAAACAGAAGTAACATAAAAGGAATTTCACGAAGGATAATATACGATAATATGTGTATAACTTCATACATGTGTGCCAAGATGTCTTCACGTTCCTGAAGAAATTTTGCAACAGCTTTTGCTAATAATGTTTTTCCTGATCCCTAATAGTGGACAACATAAATTAAAAACTCAACAAACCATAAGTATGAGATTAAAATTTGACAATTACCATCATATTAATGAATAAATATATAAACAAAGCAATGACAACCATGATAGAAAACATAATAACCCATGAAGGATTCCATAATTTGATCACAAGTTCAAGAATGATAATACTATTTAACATACTAAGCAAAAGGTAATGGCAAAGTAGTGCCACTATGTCATCATTGTGAATATTTTGCTTATGTAGTTCACCACCAATCTGTTTTTAGCATCACTTTATAATTGAGTTAATGCAAAAATATCTCCTTTATCTTTCAGCAAGTAAGGATTTACGGTAGATTCTCGTTATCATCTTTTGTTGTGCAAACATAAAAGCTTTACTCTAACCTCGACCAAACCTTGTTATTTCATGCTCACTAGGAATTCTTCTCATTTTTTTTTATTAAGAGAACTTCCTTTCCTTGATAATGATATCCATGGACAGGTTGGAATGGTCAGGCTTTGGTTTATTCCCACAAGGTTTGGAATTTGAATTACCTCATAGCCACCTACATGACAAAGTTCATCGTTTCCTACCTACCAAAGATTGTAGGCATCCTCAAAATATAATAAGAGAGAGAGAGAGAGAGAGAGAGAGAGTCGACCATTATCAACTACGAGTTCAGAGAACCAACCTTAAGAAAAATCTGCATCTCGAGTGTATAAAGGAAAAGAACGCAGCATTACATGTATGCATATATATAGGGAAAACATATTGGGAAAAATATATTAAATCAAACTATACGCATTATGTATGTGTCTGTGTAGCCATAACCTCCATAGGACAAAATACTTCAGGATCACAGTGGAGGGAGCCATGTATACTTAGAAAAAGGAGAAATATTGTGTGTACCCATGATATTTAATCTTGATGCGTATTTCAATCTTAATGTATGAGAAGCTATGTTAGCCCGTCAATATTAAAGCACCTTGAGGAAAAAATTTAGATTGAAGAGAAACTCACTGTAGGTCCATATATCAGAACGTGCCCAGGAAGAGGGAGGTTGTATGAACTGAACCACACGCCAGAAGCAGGGGATAGCAATACCATCATCCCTACATTTGACGAAGATTAGGTGTTACACGAGGAGGAAAAAAGGAATAGAAAGAAGGAAAAAATAAAAGCCATCCCTACATTTGACCAAGATTAGGTGATACACAAGGGGGGAAAAGAGGAACAGAAATGAAGAAGGAAAAAAGAAAAGCCCAAGGCTTTTTGCTAGCACAATCAGCAGTCACTTCACAATTTTAACAATTGTTTATGTGTAATGCATATCAGGGAAGAACAAATTAGGAACTTTGTCAAATTTCAAGACAACCAACTGCTTTCCTGCCGAGGTAAGTTGTTTTTGATATCTCTCACTTCTACAAGTTAAGGAAAATATAAACATCCCTATAAAAAATGCGACAAAAATGACAAAAGAAGCTCAATTCCTAAATTTCTCCTCAGGACAATATGTACATTAGGATATAGGAGAATGCACAGCAGAAACCGTGAGAGTCTTTATTCAGATCTCTTTTTTTTAATAAGAAAAAATAAAGTAAAGGTCGCAACAAACACACAAACATGAAACAGAACTCACATAAATAAATCCTTTCAGCTCAACATAATCAAATTCAGACAAAAAACTCTAAACTCTTAATACAGAAACTATATAGGAAACCAGACTTTTTCTAGCCCCTTCTGTTTAGTCGTGGTTATCTTATTACTTTGGTTGTAGTCCGGAGCCTAACTTAAGAAAACACCTGCAACGGCCTTCTGCCTAGAATACAACCTCTAACTTCATCCAAGTTATTGTTTAGTCCTGCCAAGAACACACAACACTTATCATTCTCCAATCTCTACATAGACCTTACACTGTCATTTGCACAGTCTCACTCTTCTTCATAACACAGATCCAGTTCTTGCCATAATGCTTTCATCTCATAGTAATACTCAATCACCTCTCAACCTCCTTGCTTGGATTACCACAGTGGTTTTTATCTCACAAATCTGAGCCGTTTTTTCCAGATTAGAAGACATCTCACAAACTGCTCCCCACACTTCTCTAGCAGTTGGTAAGAAAAGATACGTCTTCCAATTGCTGGCTCCATGAAATTTACCAGTCACGCAATAACTAACAAATTCTCGGACTTCCACACCTTCAGAGTAGGGTCACTGACTCACTGTCTGCTGGTTTTGTCTCGCAGGTCAGGAGGCCAAGCTTCCCTTTGTCGTCAATCACCAATTTGATTAACTAAGCCCATTTGAGGTAATTTTTACCATTCAATTTGTGAAGGGTAAATTGAACAGATGAATTTTCTAACCCAATTAAGATTCCCAGAAGAAACCGGAGGAGCACTTCCCTCAACAACCCCAGAGGATGGTGCTTTTTTCTCAGGTCATGACTGTCTTCGCCATCACAGTTTTTTTTATAAGAGCCTAAGCTCTGATGCCATGAACGTAGAGTAGAGAAGAAGGATAATATATATTCTTATTGAATAATGTCAAAATATACAAGGAAATAAAAAGACTAAGCACCGAATCTTAACCATCTAACTACCAAGAGAAAATCTAGGACCCAAGCCAGAAAAATCAGGACCGCAGAATCTGAGTCACATTTACCAGATCAGTTTTATTTTTAAAAATAAAAAACCAACAGAAAAATTCTAAAAAATCCGGAAGTTTCAACATAAACCATAGACCCAAAAGACAGTTCCAAAATTCTTGAGCACTTTCTATAGAAATTAAAAAATCTTGACAGTAGTTAAAAAGCCAGTATGCTTGTTATCAAACAAGAAGTCAATGAGTCAGTCAAGTTTTGTTACCAGTTCATCGTTTGTCTATTAAATTGATTCTTAGGCCTCGTTCATTTCACTGATTTGAATTTTTAGTTTTAAGTTTCTACAATTAAAAGCTCTCAGAAAATGCCATATCTAACTTTTTCTGCTACAGTTAAAAGCTCTAAAAAAAATGTCACATCTTAGCTCGAATTGAAAACTCGAATCCGCAAAACGAACGAGGCCTTAACTTTAGGCACACGTTGGTTTCACATTTTGGATGACTTAACCATATAATAGTTCTCCGGACCACCCCAAAAGCACAAAAACAGAAAGTCAAGCTAAGCAAAGAAGAATAAGTTTTAGAATTTTCACTCTTAACGTCCTCGTTGTCTGAGTGTCTGTCTCTCCATAGGCAGCCAAAAACAAAGGAATAACTTAGATAGAAAAGACTGAAAATCATCAAGAGAAAAACAAAATACTTGCAATCAAAAAAAGATAACTTACTATTAATAATGTCTGAAACAGTTGTCCCCATCCAGCTCAAGGAAGATACATTAGTACTTAAATCATCATCAATGATTCTCTCTCTGACACAACTAAAGGATACAGGATCACCCATTTCCAATTTTTCAAATAATGCTCCTTGCAGAGTATTATGCCCTTTGTTTAATTCATCAAACACTAGCTCGTACACAATCCCACCAGAGTGAGATTCCACGGGAATGGTTAATACATACAATATTTCAGCCGTTAGCTTACTAGTCTTTTTTATGTTTTCTAGAAAACCATTAGATGATGCCTGTACATCTTCCTGAGACCCAAGGTTGTGGCTTTTTACTTCAATGTGAACCAACGTTTCACTTCCCAGAAACAATGAATTAACCTCTAGACCAGAAGTTGAAGAAATTGCACCAACTTGTGCAAGAAACCAAACCTTCATAAGATTTTGTAGACCCCTTCCATTGTCATCCTTAAAAGCAGATTTCCCATCCTCTTTGTAATGAGATTCATGTGAAAGAGCAGCAATAACTTCATCATGAGTTGACCAATCTACAACATCCACATAGTTAGCTGAGCTCCTCTTGAGAAGCATATTTATTCTTCTGCCATTTTTATGGTTATCAAACACTTCAAGACCATTTTTCTCAAGATTCTTGGATTTCTCTATCATCTTAAAATGGCAAGGAGAAAGTGAAACCGAGGGAATATCTTTCCTCAAAATGTTGCGTCCCTTTAAATAAACCCCTGCATGAGAGTCCTGTCATCAGACAAGATTTTGCAAAACAAATCATCCAAACATTTGTTGGGAAGAAAACAATCTACTAGAAAGAAACATAATAAAAATTTGGATAACTTTTTTCTTTTTCCAGTATAAAATTTTACTACAGCAAATAGAAACAACAGAGCAACTTTCCTTTGATCCTTTAAGTAAAAAGAAACAAGGAAAATTGATTGAAGGGCTATAAATTAGCTACTCAAAACATGGAGGAAATAGAAGTCATATAATGGACATAAACTTGCTTTGGGATTTCTAGGGAGAAGCAGTTTCAGCCAACAATCAATTATTAAATGAAAAAAGAGTATATTCAGGATTTGCATCATCAGCAAAGAAATGCAGAAATAAACAGAAAACTGATCAAATTTACAAACCGAAGAAAATAGTTAGCCATAATAACCTGTATTTACATTCACAGTGTATAAGACCGTTCCAGAGGAAAGTCTGAAACAAAGATGAGTTTGTTTGGACTAAGGTAAGTCGAACATACATGAATGCAGGCCAGCCCCCAAGTAAAAACGAAGAGATTGAGAAATCATGACATGCCCTTTAGCCACTGAATCTGAAAACAGTATACGAACAATTGCTTGACGATTTTCCAGTTTACTTGCAGTGTCTGCATCCTTCGATACTGAACTCGTTTTTACTCTCAAGCCACCTTTTTCAGAATCTTTTACACTCTCCTTTGCCGACAATCGAGGCACTATAGCTACTAACTGAAGAGAATCTAATGCAAACTTGTTTGCTGTTTCTGGGTGCACTATAGCAACAGAAGTGAGAACCACGCCAAGCTCAATATTTTTAATGTCACTTTTGTAAATTAGTCTCCTATCTGCGTCTTGAATGCGCAGTAAAGCACTTGCTGCTTGATGTGATTTATTGGAAGATGACATGGAAGAATCTTGGTGTGAATCCAAATTTTTCTTCCGTCTTTTTGGAGCAACTGCAACTTTAGTTCCTGCCACAAGTTGCACTGGTGGGATCTTATGTCAGAATTCATCTATGCTATAACAACTTCATTCATAATAGTACATGACAGGCATGAAACAATATAGCAAGCAGCTGCATACTTAAAGTAACATGAACCTCCATATACATATGTATGTGTTGTTTATGCTGTGTTTGTGTTTGTGAACTGCTTAATTGCAGTTGCTTAAAAAAATTTCTAAAAACTTGACACACTCAAATCTGTTCCTCAAGCCATGCTTGACTTTCACCTACACGTTAATTAAATATTTGTTTGTTATGAAGAGTAAAAATAACTAAAACCAAGGAACTCGACCTTTACAGCAGTGGACTACTACTAACCCAATGCTTTTATAAAAGCAACAAAGCAAATTATTTCCTGACGAGGACCCAAGGGCTGGAAAAGCATAATCTAAGGATTTGTTTTGTTTCATATACTCAAACTCAAATCATTGATACTGCTACATTTTTTTTTTCTCACAAAAAATTTGAATTTCAAACGTCAAAATTAAGAATCACGGTTTGAGTATACCATCCAAACAGGCCCTAAATCTAAATTTAGTTTAGAAAAAAAGAAAAAAAAAAAAAAAAAAAAAAAAAAAAAACCCTCAAGTTCAAAGCTTTTTATGGTTACAAGAAACAAGAACAGGTTCTTATAACCAAAGTTTTTCTTTTTCTTTTTTTTTTCTTTTTTTTTTTTATGTATTACAATGTCAAACTCGGCATGCCAATTTATCAGTTGCGGTTTAGTTCACCGATTTGTCTACCCGTCATTAACGTAGTCCTTGCTTGCATCATAATCATTATAAGAAATTTAAAATTATCAAAGCAGCACATAACGAAATATTGCGCAAGCACTTTATTTATAGCATCTTACCCACCGCTTTCTTGGGGAATGTTGAAACCACACAAAATGTGATGATAGTCCGGCCATGCAACCATAAAGGAAATGTCATTTTCTCGTGGACTATCCTGACCTGTATTTGCCCAACTTTCAGCATCAGATTCGAACAAGAGAGAGTGAGAGACTATTTTCTGCTTAAGAAAAAAATATATGGAGGAAAGAATAAAACACAGAAATAGAACGGAAGCTTTGACACTAACTACCTTAATCCTCGAAATAAACTCAAACAAAAAAAATAAAAATAAATATACTCAAAACAAAAACTAAAATAGTAACAGTAACAGCAATGGAAACAGCTCAAAATATTATGAAATGAATATCAATTGTCCACAAACAGGGAAGAAGAAAAGTATTGATCAGAGCTAAAACAAAAGTAACAAATAATTGGAACTGTAAGTAATTAAATTCAGTATCCAAGTAATCAATTTGAGCTCAAAACCACGAATTTCAATTCTGTGAATCCTCAAACTACTTCTGAATTTGACAAAATAATAATAATAATAATAATAATAATGATAAAATTACGTGGCGCTGTACCTGCTTTAATATAGCTACTTCCGCAAGCTCCGAATTGAGCTCCAAAACCTCCCAATCATCCTCACTGTTGGGCTCAATCGTCACCAAACTGGCCTTCGCCACATTCGCCAGTGCTCGCACCTGAACTCTCGTGCCCTCTCCCAAATATATGCACTCCGCAAACTGCCGAGCAATCTGCCAAAAATCCGCACTCTCCACCGTCACCAAAACCACAATTAACCTTAAGCAAACAAAAACTAGAACCAAAAACAAATCGAAAATGCCAAATTAGACCTCGATCGCGGGAGAAGAGGAAGTGTCGCCGGACCAGGCGACGGACCATCGGAGGTCGGAGGAGCGAGAGCGAAGCTCGAGGGCGAGGACGTCGGAGGAGCGCGGTTGGGAGGATTGGAGGGTTTGGATTAGGAGCAGAGGAAGAGAAACGAAGCAGCTCTCAATACCAGCAACCAGCCTCACCTCGAACTCCAACTCCATGGCTACTAACACTACTGTTACTTGGAGAGTCGCAAAGATAATAGGGTTTGCGGAATCGCGTGAGAAGGACGCGCCGCTCAGAACCTGTGGGAGAATGGGGAACGGGAATGACGTTGAAGAAGATGAAAATGGAACGAACGTACCGTATGTGTTTTGGTCAGATTTCTCGAGTCCCGAAGCTGATTTCAGTTTACGAGGTTCGAGAACCGGGTTGTTCTTTTCTCCGTTTGCGTTTTCATTTGGGAGAAATATAAAAGAAAAATAAATATTTATCCCGATAGGATAAGAGCCCATATGTGGTCCCAATGTGATGATTAAAACAACGTTCGGTTCACGTATTCGAGTTGAAATGTGATATTTTTTTAAAATTTTTAATTGTAATAAAAAAATTAGATATAATTTTTTTAGAAAGTTTTTAACTGTAAAAATTTAAAACTGAAAACTCGAATCAGTTAAATGAACGGGGCCTTAAGATTTTATTTAATCGATTTGAATTTAAATTTTAAATTTTATTACAGTAAAAAGTTCTTAAAAACAGTCACATTTAATTTTTTTCTACAGTAAAAAATTCGCACATAAAGTCACATCTCAATTCGAATTTAAAACTCAAATCAGCGAACTAAACGGATCATAATTCTACAAATGAACTCGGAGATTTACAGTTGATCCCAACACAGTTAGTTTAAGGTTTTGTTTTATTTCAGTTTTAGTCTTTTATTAATTAGGTTTTAAAATTAATGAAATTTGTGTAAATTATATACTAAAATTAAAAACAACTAAATTTAAGAACTATATGTGCAAATTCATTTTTTTTTATTGTTTACTCCCTAAATTTTAAAATTTTTTGTTTAATTTTGGCCGCTAATTTTTAGAAATTCCATTAAATATTAAACAACAAGCTAGCAAAAGCACTGAATTTGAAACAGAATAAAATCTCATAGACTAATTGTGAGATGTTTAAAAGTCAGGGACTAAATTGAAATTAACGATAAACCTCATAAACCATTTGTGAGATTAACCAACTTTATATCGAGTTTTCAATGGTTACGTTTTCATGGTGGATATTGTCAATTATAGAAATTTAATGATATGATGTTATACGAATCTAATCTCATTAATTGTTATTCATTTTTTTGATCAACTATCTATTTTATTACAACTGTCATATCAATATCTTATGGTTAAAATAATCTCTTTCATTAAGTAAATATCACAATAACCATTAAAACCATTACCCATATGTATATCAATATCTATAATCTATATCTCTTATAACTATATTATAAATAGGAGGATCCTTCTCATTATTATTCTAATTTAAGTTATTTTCTTCTTTCTTACTTCAAATAGTTTATATCTTTTTATTATTATTATTACTATCGATGTCTAGCACTTTAGGGTTTTTCTAGTTTCTATTAATGTCTCTAAATTTTAGATTAGTCTCATTTAAGTCATTTTGTATGACTTTTTGTTAAAATCACATCAGAAAAAAGGGATTAAATGTGGTCATGTGGTTTTTATCCATTTACTTTTAACAGATATTCAAACAAAAAGAGCACGTGCATTACTCTAGTTTTTCCATATGTTTTTAACTTCCAACAAAAGATGTTAAGTGGGAAAAATTCAAAATTTAAGTAGTAAAGTGAGAGTTTTTAAAATTTAGAGGACAAACTGAGAATGACCCAAAGTTCAGAGCATTGATAACAATAATTTTTCTTTTTTGAAAATCAGATAAATAGCTTTTTTTTACCACATTTTTAATAAATGGCTAAACTTTATATTTTTTTAACAAATGGTAGTACTATTTTTATTTTAGCAAATGGCCTTTTTTATAGTAGTCAATCAGTGATTGTTTGATTTATAATTTTATCAACGATTTATCATTAATAAATATATAATTTGTTGATTAAAATTAATTAATTATAATTTATTTCAATTAATTACTGACTCACATTGATTAATATGCACCTTGTAACACTTTACTCTTTGATATTTAAAACGTAATATTTGTTTTCCTAAATAATGAAACGTTAACAAAAATACCTCATATGTTAAAAAATTTAACATTTTGACACGTATCACATAAATATCAGTTGTTGTTAAATAATTTAGAGCACAATTACTATTTTACTTATGCACTATATTTTTTTAGTATAATTTACATATAAAAATAAAAAAGACTCTTAAAATCTGTAACTTACATTTAACTAATTTTGGATATTTCGTAATTAAAAGTCAACATTTAAATTAATTTTAAAATTGAAATTAAATTTCAAAACATAAAGTTACTAAAATATCTTTAAAATAACTAATTAAATGTAAATTTTGGTTAAAAAATTGATGGAGAATTTTTTTCTCAATATTTATTGTTGAGAGAGAACGAATGTTGTATTTTAAAAATTAGGAGATAAAATGTTAAAAATAGTAGATGTGTTTGGAGTTGTTTTTGTTTCAGTTTTTCACGTTTTTTGAGAAAGAAAAAATGAAAACAGAAAGAATAAGTGTTTGACACAATTAAAGATAAAAAATAGAAATGAAAACGATTTTTTAATTTAGTGTAAATTGAGAGAGAAATGAAAAACAATAGCAGATGTGTTTGGAGTTGTTTTTGTTTCAGTTTTTCACATTTTTTGAGAAAGAAAAAATGAAAACAGAGAGAATAAGAACCCGTTCACTTCGTTGATTCGAGTTTAGAATTCGAGTTTTTCTACAGTAAAAAGCTCTCACAAACAATCACATCTAACTTTTTTACTACAGTAAAAGCTCTCACATAAAATCACATCTCAACTCAAATTCTAAACTCGAATCAGCGAAGTGAACGGGGCCCGTTTGACACAATTAAAGATAAAAAACAGAAATGAAAATGATTTTTTGGTTTAGTGTAAATTGAGAGAGAAATGAAAAATAATTTTTAGTCGTTTTTCATTTTTTGTTTATGTTTTCTCTTCTCTCGAGTAGAGAGAAAGAGATAGAGACATTAATTGATTTTTTTATACTGAAAACAATCTTTTAATAACACTATCAAATGCATTTTTAAAAATAATTTCTATTTAAGATTAAAAACGTTTTCATTTTCATATAAAAAATAAAATCATTTTAAAACGAATTCTAAACACACCAAGTATAATTCAAAGGAAATTTTTATAATTAATCCACATTTTTTGAAATACAATCCTTAGAGTTTAGGACCAACCACGCCACTAATCCTTAAATAATAATATAATAATAATCATAATTAGAAAGAAACGTGCTGTCGTGGGAGAACCGTCACATAGCGAGGCCTAATTTTGTGGGTCTGTATATATACGTATTATATATATTGTTGTGCATATATATATATATATACACACACCAGGGCTTCTTTTTTTCCCAAGGGGAAGTTCTCGTTTGCTTTTTGGTGTTCTTCAAGGCCGCGCTCTCTCTCTCCCTCGTACGGTAAATCTTCCATTCCTTTTTCTCTATCTGCTTTTGTTGTAATCGATTTTCGAAAATCTCAATTGCATTCGAAGTTATATAGAATGACTATCACGATCAACTTGTTTGTTTTCCTTCCAGTCCATTGTCGTATTCTTCATCCAAACTAGTTTCTCAAAGTGTTTTTACTTTCCTCCGAAAAAAGAAAAAAAAAGCGTTTTCACTTTTCAGTCTGGTTTTTTTTTTTATGTCTTTCTTTGGCCAACTTAATTTTTCTCTTTTTTTTAAGTTTTTTCTTTTTTTCTTTAATTTTGTTTGTTTATTGAGTTTCCAATGGATTTTTCATTGAAAGTTATCCTACATTTTGCTATTTAGGGTTTTTTTTGTTGGTGAATATATCTCATGTTGCTTCTATAGAAAAAGCTAAGAAATTGGCCACTAATTATTGTTAGTTAGAATTATTAGGATCAATACTCGTACAGTTACTGCTTTTATACTTCTAGTTTTAATAAAATATGAAAATAGAAAAGTTTAAATTAACTTTTTGTATTTCTCTATCACTTTTTTTTGAAATCATTTGTGGTTTTTTTTTTCTTTTTTTATGTTTAGATTCATAGTTATTTCTTTAGTACAAACAGCTATCCTCCAATTGTTTTTTTTTTTTTTTTGGGTGAATGAAATAGTTGTAAACGCGAAACGTTTTGGACACTATTAGTAACTAGAATCTTTATGGAGGATACATGAACGCTACAAGGTTGAATATCTAATATGCTGGCTATATATAAGGTATTTGGAGGATTAAAGTATTTTTTTTTTAATTAATATGTCACTACTGAAAGCTTGTCACTAAACTTTAACTGAAAGGAAGCCAAAAATTCTGGCGTTATTACCAAGTAATAGGCACTAAATATCTCCGGGCCTGTGTATTGTTTTCTTGAACCAATAACACTTGAGAGTAATTCTCCGACTGAAATGAGTCCTAGAAATGCTTTAATTTATGACTAAAAGGGTGTTCCTAGAATTTTTTTTTCTTTCCAATTGTTAGTGATGAGCTTCTCAACTGTATTTTCTTTGTTGATCTTCAGAGTTCAGCTCGAGGAGCATTATTTGCTAGATTGTAGTTGTGGGAATTACTTTGTCGATGCACCTTCTATGATATCTGAACCGAAGCATGTAGTAATATGTCCGCTTATGCATTAATTTAGGAAGCTCTTTTTTCACATGACCGCTCATTTCTTCTGCTTTAAACTTAGATAGAATTAAAGTCAATGTTGAAACAAAATTCTATGGCGATGTATATCCAAATTTTGTGATTAAAAAAAAAAAAGAGAGAGACGTAAATTGGTTTTGTAGCCCATGGTGACAATGCTTATATGCTAATCTTTTTGTAGCGATTTAGAATATTCTTTGTTTGTCGACGTAGTGTTTAACGGCAGGATGGAATCAATGAAGTTGGCTAAGAAACAAAATAATGCCTTTGCTAGCCCACCTGAATATGGTGCAATATTCATGTCGAATACTGCGACAAAAAAGGAGTGTCTGAGACGAAAACTATTTGGCCTTCCATCTATGCATTGCCACTTTGTAAAACATATTAAAGCTGGAATGATCTTGTTTCTGTTCGAATATAAAAAGCGGTTACTCTATGGTGTATTTGAGGCATGTTCAGATGGCGGAATGAATATTGTCCACAATGCTTTCAATTCATCAGGAATGCATTTTCCGGCTCAGGTATGGCAAACCAGTATGGTTTTTGTTGCTTTCGTTTTCTGGTCTTGAAATAGAATAAAACAAACAATGGTGAGGGAAGAAGACTTTTTGGCAGCGGGAATTGCTTAGCTCTTTGAAACCTGTTAGTGTTATGTGGATCATTAGTACTTCATTTACACTCCCACACCCCCTGTTTATCCAAAACCAAAGGAAACAAAAGTGCACTGCACTTGCAAAGCCCTCGGATGGGATAATCTCCAATTCTATCTCAAATGTCAAATAATACTTTTTTTTTCTGATTTTTATATCCAGGTGAAGTTCAAGACTATTTGGGTATGTGAGCCACTTCCTGAGAATGAATTCCGTGATGCAATCAAGGAGAATTATTTCACAGCAAAAAAGTTTAATTTCGGGCTCTCTAAAGCTCAGGTTTTTTTCTCCCATCTTAAAATTAGACCATCTTGTATTTAAGTTATCTTTTAAGTGGTTTATGGTTATGCATCTTCCATTTTTTTGTAGGTTTGGAGACTTCTACAGTTGTTTAGTTCGAGAAAATTAGGCGAGCCTGAGCAACAATTGGCCAAGGGTAGAAATGCAAAATCAGCTGTGCACTCATTGGACAGAGTCAGACAAGTTGATGATAGCAGTTGTGAAGTTAATGATAGAGTAAATGGTGTTCATGTTTGGGGAAATAGTGATGTGGATAGTGAGCCTAAATCAGCCACTACTACTGATGATCTGGTGTTGGAGTTTGATAAAGTGGAAAGCAACAATAGCAAGTTCCAAATGCATGGATGGGGAAGGAACGCATATCCCCTGCACACTGAACTTCTGCCAGCCATTCCAACCAAGTACTCCAAGTATCATTTTGGCGAGGTCAGAAGACTTCCAGGTGATGAGTTTCATGTGAATGATGGGTTTCAAATTGAGTGTCACAAGGACAGCGATTTTGAACCTGCCATTGGAAGTGAGTATCCTTCTTTGCTTCAGTCTAAACTTAGGTCCGACGTTTCTACGAAGCCTCTTTTTGTACCAACTCCTTTAGCTTCAGAGAAAACAAAGCCACCTTCCCCAATTCACCATCAAATGGAGTTAGAACTGCTGGCTAACCTTTCTTCTAAAGCGTCTTACAGAGATGCGGTTGTTATGAGCCCTCACTCTTACGATTCTGTTGCTCCTGGTTTGAACTATCAATGCCCATCATCGAATAATGTCAATGTCCATTCTATAGGAGGATGTCTTCCACCTTATGGTTATTCTGAGAATGTCATTTCTTCCTCAAGAAAACAACCATTTTCATCATATTCAGAGCCAAAAGGAATTGACAAATTCCTAAACAAAAATTCAACATATAGGGACCACACTTGTTTCTCAGTTCTTAATCCTATTGACAATTCACATCATGGGACAATTATTGGTTTGTCACAGGCGTCATATTCTGAAAACTTGGATGCAAAATCCTTAAAGGATCAAACTTACACTGGCTTGTCCTCTTTAAAGTTCTCTGCGGCAGCAGATATGCCGTCCGTGAGAACCACAATCAATCCAAGGGAGAACAAGTTCTCATATTATCCACTCAGTTCCCACAAGTATTCTTCGATGGATGATTATGGCTATCAAGTAGAACCAGAAGACCATCTAGAGCACGAAGCCACTTGGAGGAAGAAAGGTGAAGCTCTTATGGATAATACGACTTCAACATATGAGGACTCATTCACATTGCAAGGTTGTGTTTCCTCTGTTGATCCTCATACTGTGCAGAATTATGAGCATAATTGTGATATCGAGCCTTACCAAAGTTCTGACACATTATACTCTGTTCCTCCTAAGAATAGGATCAGTGTGTTTTCTCGCTTAGCTTTTGCTCCAGATGCACATCTATCAGGGCATAATGCTGAGATTCACTATGAGGTTAGCAATTCGTCCAAGTCAGTGCATGGAATCATGGAAATGTTGGATAAGAATCACAATCAGTGGGTTAAGTTGAAGAAGTCCAAACCAGGGAATAAACAAGATGATGTTGAAAACCTTAGGAACAAAAGAAAAGTTACCTCTTCCTGTAAGGCAGAGAAAGATTGCTTGAGAGTTTCGGCAAAGGATAAGCAAAGCTTGCCAGCTGGAGCAGATGTTATAAATGTCGATTGTTCTCTAGCTGGAGCAGAGGATATGGAAGGGGTTTTCTCTATGGAGAAAGTGACTCAATTGGGTGAAGCGATGCCATTTTTCAATTTCAAGCGCCGAAGTGAAATGCGCAAGCTTCATCATGATGGGGGTACTACATATTGTAATGTAACTTCAGAGATTGAGGGTGTGTCGGTAGGGCAACAAAAGAAAAGAAAGTTGGTTAGGCCAAATTTCAGTAAGAATGTCTCCTCTGTCCATGAAGGCGTAGAGAATTATACTCTGATTTTACAAGAATCAGCGCAAGAAATTCCTATCATGAAAGACAAAACAGGAGGTTGTGAGGCTTCAATAGTAAACCAGAAGGATGAAAAGGAAATCTCATTTCATAGTGGGAAAGAGCCGCATTTGATCTCTCGACCCTATCATGGAGATTGGGACTTCAATAGTGAAAGAAGAGACACAAGAGTCGGAAGTTGCATCAGCTCCAATAGGATTGGGGATGAAGTTGGAAAAGCGTCTGCAAAGAACAAAATCGACATCCGACATGCTGCAGCCCCGAGTATCTGTGAAGATAAGAATCCTGATGGCGGTTTGACGGGAAATGGGCCATTCCTAGATCATCATAAAACGTGCCATTTCTTTGGGCAAGAAACACTTCCGCGACTACCTGAAGAGAAAGTCGCAACTGGAACTGAATTTTCTGGAGATGAATGTGAAATGAACAACAAAGTGGAATTGCTTCCAACTTCTCAAAGTGTTAATGAAACGTGTCCAAACAGTTCTGAACATCATGCTACCACGAAAACAATGAAAGGCTCAAGTAATCAACTTTCTGAACTGCAGAGAGAGGGCAAAGAACACACCGCTCTCTATGTAGACACTTGCAAGGAAAACGTCCCGCAGACTTCTCCGAGATCCAGTACAAAGCCATCGGAGGAATCTAATGGCAAACCTGTTTGTATCTCATGAAGGCTAAGGGAAAAAAAGGAAGCTGAAGAGATGAAATTCACGTAAATGATGCTAAGGTATTAAGAATGAACCTAAATCTAATCCTTGCACTATTAAATACAATATTTTGCGAGTGCTGGTGTAAATGATGAGCGCAAGGCTAACAAATAGCTTCTTTTATTTGTTTTTATTTTTTATTTTTTTTTAATCCTTTCAAATATTAGGTAGTATTGAACTTTGCTAAAAGACCAAATCCAACCACTAGTTACTTGGTTTGTCAATGGTTGTGCAGTTGGCATAAATTTTATAGTTTTTCTTTTGTTTGTCAGTTAAGCTGTTATTGCTTTAAGTACTTTTCAAGACGTGCATATTATTGCTTCATGTGACAAACGCCTTTTTCGTATGCAATGTTGAAGATAAGTTTATTGGTCTGTTATAGCAAATTATGCGTCTAAACTCTTAGCCAAAAAAAAAAAAGAGAGAGAGAAAAAAAAAAAAAGAAGCGAGATTGTCCAGTACCTTTGGTGTACCGATAGGTCATGATTTTAATAATTAAATTTGTGTATTTTTTTTTTATTTTTACATAATTTTATGTAGATTTGATGAATAAGAAACGACGTACTAAAAAAAGTCTAAAAAACAAAAGCGCTTAAACATTATTGGTGGTCAATATAGCGTCAAATCGTTGTGGGGTAAGCCAAGTTTTCTTACATGCTCCTCCTACAAAAGCTTGTGTATTGAGGACTGTTTTGGGAGGATAGAAGAAGTAATATTAATATAGAAATAAATATATATATATATATTTTTTACAAATATATACAAATAAATTTTGTGCCAAAGCAACTTACATAATCGCTGGTTCAACGATCTCATCAAGAGCCTTGATGACGAGCCCTGGGTCTCCACTGCTTATGCGTGTGGGGGGGTTTGTAGATCTTGCTTTCCTTTCGACCTCGTGTTGCTTTGTCCAATGAAAATCTTTAAGCTTTTAACCCTTAAACTTTAGTATTAATCATTAACATTAACATAAATAAAAGAGCTATAAGCTTTAAAAGGTTTTTCTTTCTTTTAAAATGTGACACTACAAGGAGAATTCTCCTTTTTAACACGCGGGCATTATGTTTTTGTTTTCTTTTTTTGTTCCTTTTTCTTTTTTTTTTCTTTCCAAAGTTGTTATATAATTCAATTTTGTTTATATCAAATCGTAACGTCCCTCTCAAACTAGTAGCTAAAAATAACGTCAATTTGAGAAAAATATTAACTAAAATAAAATAATGTTGTTTAATAGAAAAATAATATCTGTCACACGTACAATCCTCAAGCAGAATTCTTAGGGCCCGTTTAGTTCGCTGATTTAAGTTTTTAATTTGAGTTGAGATGTGACTTTATGTAAGAGCTTTTTATTATATTAAAAAAGTTAAATATGACAGTTTTTGAGAATTTTTTACTGTAGCAAAACTCGAATCGGTGAAATGAACGAGACCTTAGTATTACTAATTTCATTTCTTATGATTTCCAAACTCGTTATGAAACTTTATACTATTTTTACTCAATCAACTGGAACTTTTATTTCAGACTTAGCTTACTTACATCAAAAGAATTATATATAAGCGCAAACTTAATAAATAAACCATAAACCAATATCCACTTTTAAAATATATTTTTTTAATATTTAGTACCAACTTGTACAACATTAATCTCATAAAAGTGTGCTCTTTTTTTTAAATACTTTTTTTCTTTGTTTTGCACTTACTAAAATAATTTATTTTACGCATATTCTTATTTTTTTCGTTTTTTTTTCTTCTCATAAAGTCATTTTATAAATACAAATTTTTAAATTGTTATTTTATGAATACAATTTTTCTATTAAATTATTTTTACAGGCCTCGATTATGTATTGAATTTCTGTTTTCTTGAATGAAATTCTCATTAAAAAAACAAAAAAGGAAAGGGGAAAAAAAAAGAAAGTTGCCATTGCTTAACCGACACTTTCAATTCCCGCACTTCCGATTAGCATTTTTTTTTTTTTTTTTGAAAGAGAAATTGTCTCACATTTCCATAACCCATCTCCATTTCTTCGTCTTCAACATTTTCTTCCGTTACTAGTGAAGTATCACTCTGAGTCCGAAACCTGCAATTTTCAATCTTCTCCCAAATGTGTCTCCCAAACCTCCATGGCAAACCCAATCCCTGACGCATCTCCATCTTCTCCAGCGGCGAAGAAATGACGAACAGACTCCTCCTCAGAAACCTCAGCCTGAGATCCCGCCGCCGTCCCCGCTACGGCGCCTACGCCTGCGCCGCCGCCGCCGCACTCCTCCTCCTCCTCTCTGTCTCTCTCCTCTACTCCCGCCTCTCCCACCACAACCATTCTATCCTCCTCCGCCGCCGCATCCCCGACGCCGTTTCGGTCGCCAATCCCCTCATCTCCGACGACTCCCAGGACGAAGACGCAGCCGTCGCCGTCGACGACAGGATCGACGAGCTCGACGACGTCGTCTTCGAGGACTCCCCTCGCGACGATGAGCCCTTGGAGGACGACGACGAGCAGATTCCCGACAAGAATCGGCTCAGGGTTTCCGGCTTCTTTTACGACCACGTGAACGGCGCCATTCGTAGGAGATTCAGTCACAGATCGATCGACGACTGGGATGACGAGTACTCAGGGTTCAGCCTAGGGCTGGTGGCAGAGGATCAGAGTAAGGCCGCGTTTGGATCTGATGATGTTCCCGTTGATGAAACTGTGAGGAGGAAGGCGAGCGAGGTGGTTGGGATTGAGGACGCTCTGATGTTGAAGGTGGGAAAGAGGGTCTCGCCTCTGAGAGAAGGTTGGGGAGATTGGTTTGATAAGAAGAGCGATTTCTTTAGGAGAGATAGAATGTTTAAATCCAATTTGGAGATTTTGAATCCTTTAAACAATCCAATGCTTCAAGACCCTGATGGCATTGGCGTCACTAGCTTGACAAGGGGAGATAAGTTAGTCCAGAAATCTTTGTTGAATGAGTTTAAGAGAGTTCCACTTCTGATGAAGAAGCCATTGGGTGTTGTTGAACTTCCAAGGACTTCCCTAAAGTCCAAAGTTGGTGAGAATGGTAATGAGATTAAGAAAGCCGAGCGTAGGACTCTGGATTCGAATGTGGTTCGGAGGAGGTCGGAGTTTGAGAGTTATGTATATGCTGATGGCAAGAGATGGGGTTACTATCCCGGATTGCAACCGCATTTATCGTTTTCGGATTTCATGGATGAGTTTTTCAGGAAGGGGAAGTGTGATTTGAGGGTGTTTATGGTGTGGAATTCTCCACCTTGGATGTATAGTGTAAGGCATCAGAGGGGGCTTGAGAGTTTGCTCCACCATCATCCAGATGCCTGTGTGGTCGTGTTTTCAGAGACTATTGAGCTTAACTTCTTTAATGATAGCTTTGTGAAGGATGGGTATTTTACTCGAATTATTAGATTTCTCTATTCTTTGGAACATATTTATGTTGTAAATTTTCTTTTTAAGTTCTGAACTTATGGGTTTCTTTTTGCTCTTCAGTTATAAAGTCGCTGTTGCTATGCCAAATCTTGATGAATTGCTGAAGCATACACCAACCCATGTGTTTACTTCAGTCTGGTTTGAATGGAGGAAGACAAAGTATTATGCTACCCACTACAGCGAGCTTATCCGCCTTTCTGCGCTTTACAAGTAAGCATAATTACCCTTTCCAGGGAAAAAAAGAACCAAAAAGAAAAAAAGCTTCATCATCTGGGTTGTGGATTAGTTTTGTCCATTACTTTTAAATGGCTACACTTTTGAAAGCATTTGGTTTTCATATTAGAGAACATTTAATCGTAGTCATAGACCATGATACACATGGTTGAATTAAGAGAGTATGTATGAGAAACAATGTTTGTATCAATTTGCTTGAAGAAGAACGCAAATATTTGACATCATCTGTGCTAACCTGACATATTAATTCTAGGAGTTAAAGAGCTAGTTACTCCTTGTTTGAGTTTGATGCCTACTACTTCTAGTGTCTTATAAGTTATTTTGATTCAGCTTCTAAAAAGTAAGGATTAGAGTTGGTGTCCTTAGCATTACATTTACCTCTTTCAAACAGAGCATTAATGACATTATTATAATAAGTAATTCCTTCTTCATTGACCTTGGTTCCCAAGCCATCTGCAAGAAACATGTATTAATAGAAACATCGAGATGGGAAGAACCTAAGAGATATATTGACGTATACTCCTTCTCTATAGAATTTTAGGGGTCAAGGGTAATTTATGTTTTGGTTAGATGTCTCCATTAGATTTGAATCGATTCTATCACGAATTTCATATAGGACCTAAATTTTACAAAGTTTATCTAGATGGTTATGGGAGTCCGGTGAGACTAGAAGAGTCAAATTCTAGAGTGCAATTTCCATTTCTTATTTCTTGGATGTGGCTACATGGCTGTGTCAAACGTTGGAAGCTATATGCAAGGTTGAGAACAACGTGGGTTTCAAGAAAAAATTCAATGGATCAGGAATGAAATAAAGTTTAGAGAGAGAAGCTCTCCCTTCTCTCTAGGATTCCAAATCCAAATGTCATTTTAGAGTTTTTCTGCTTCTGGTAAAATGTTTTCACCTAAATTCAACCGATTCTTCCAAGAATTTAGGATTGGATCAAAACTTTTCAAAATTTATCTAGGAGCAGATGGGGGAGTAATTAGAATGAGGAAAGTAAGTTCAATTCGTTGGTTCTTTTTATCATGTTCAATTGGTGCAACATTTTGGTTGAGTAATACTTTTGATTTTATTTGCAAATCTGTGGTGAGACAAGGCTTTAAGCGAAAATTCAGCAATAGTTTGATGACTCTTCTAGTTGAAGTGTTAAGGAATACGGGGGCAGAATTCATAAAGATAATGAGAGTGCAGGGAGTTGTAGTTAGAAATCTCTTCGTTCCTTGGGATCAAACAAAACTTGGGTGGAATTTTTTTTTAAACAGTTCATTTTAAGGCTGCTGATGGCGGTCTTACTTCATCAGTTCTGCCCAGTGGTTTGTGTTAAATGCCTTAAGATGTGAACATATCACTAGTTGTTTTTCTTCCAGTTCATTTTAAATGTTATGGTGTATCATTGAAACAATTATTTAGACGACTATTTTATCTATTTGAGGTGATTCGACAAGAAATTAATTTGTTCATTGCAGGGGAAATCTGTGCATGTATGTTCATCATGTAGGCTGTGTTGGTTTTATTACAAGCAGGACTTCTTCTGATGTCAACGTTTAGTTTGCTTTCCAATAGTGTAATAATTTCAATTATGAATTTCTGTTGTGTGCTCTCCAGGTATGGTGGAATATATCTCGATTCTGATATTATAGTCTTGAAATCATTATCTTCACTTAGCAATTCTGTTGGTATGGAGGATCAGGATAATGGGCGTTCTTTGAATGGTGCTGTGATGGCGTTTAGAAGGCACAGGTACTCGTGCTACTGCTGGGTTTATTTATTCATTCTCTCCTTTTCCTCTCTAATTGTGAGATGATATTTCTAATTCTTTGTTTTTTGATAGGAAATGTTGAGCTTCATTATTCTCTCTCTCTCTTTTGTTTGTTTTTTTTCCTAATTGGAATAGCTGAACTTTATTAAAAATATATTAAAAAGCAAGTACAATATAGAAACAAAGGAGCATGACGGGATGAGATATCCGCTAAGAACAGAAAATAAGGAAAAAACACAGACAAATATCTCAGTTAAAGAAAGAAAACAAAACTCATAAGCCAATATGTCATCCCAACTAAGTAAAATCAGTGAAATTTGGAAATCCTTGAAAGATGCATCTGTCGGAAAGCCAGGAATTTTGCCCGGTAGTCTAAGAGCCATTGGTTTGATTTTTGGGAGTTTCAACTTGTTTGGAAGGATTTTATTTTATTTTTTTCTTTATTTTTTTTGTTATGCGTTAAAGTATATTGATTTATTTTTTTATTTTTGGAAGTTTTAGTGTTACGCGTTAAAGTATAGGAGTTAATGTTGGTAGTGGTTTCTTGGGGAATTAATGTGGGAGTTTTTAGGGCCTCTTGTAAATGTCTTGCAGTCCATTGTCTAAATGGTAAACAGAATTTCAGTTTAGCAATCTCATTTGAAGAGAGGCTTTCCAGTTCCTATCTTTGTTTTCAATCCTTCCCGAGCTCCAACAGTGTTTGGAGTGTGTTACAGTTTTTTCCTTTACATCAGTGTCCTCCGCACTTTGTTTCATAAAATTGCTTTCAACTGATATGGGTGTGTTTGTATGTAAATAATGGTAAGGGAGTAGAATGATCCGAACTATATGGATAGAAGTAGTAATGAGGGAGAAGAACACTTCAGCAGGTGATTGGAAGAGAATATAGTGTGAACTATCTGAATAATGTAGTCTATATTATTTTCTGTTTGTTTCCATATTGGGTGCTAATTAAGGGTCTGCGTTCCTTGTTAAAATTGGTAAAAGCAGCAAGTAAACTGGGGAACAAAAGCATGGTGTTGGAAGACTGATGGATTTTCTGGAAAAATAAACCAGTTTTCAACACTTATATACTGACGTGTTTTTAGTTTACTGTAGTTTAATGAAAGAAGGAAGTTAACATGTGAATTTTAGAAAAGTTTCGTACTTGATATTTTCTTTTCCTCTCCATGCAGTCCCTTTATAAGCGAGTGCATGAAAGAGTTCTACATGACATATGATGACACTCGGTTGAGATGGAATGGGGCTGATCTTTTAACAAGAGTTGCAACAGAATTTTTAAGGACGGAGAGAAACACCATTCGAGAGGTGGAGTTGATAATGCTTCATTCATCCATTTTCTTCCCTATCAGCTCACAGAATATTACAAGGTATAACTTAAAACTCTCAACCGTTAACTATAAAGTCCAAAAGTGAGCAATTTGTTTCGTAGCCAAAAAAAAAAAAAAAAAAAAAAAAAAGAAGCAAGCAATTTGTGATTTTGGTTCCACAATTTTTCCAAAATTTTCCGCCTTGCTTAGCATAGAGTTGTCTTCTTATGTTATGTGATAGACAATGGGTGTTCTAATAGGCCCTATCTATTACTTCTTTACACTCACAGAAAATGTAAGAACACTAAAGGCATACAATAGAATTCATTGATAGGCAATGTCATGTATGCGATTTTTTTTTTCTTTGAAGCAAGAAACGAAGTAAGTTAATGGTAAAAGAAAAAAAAAAAATATATGTATATACAAGAGGGGAGGAAGTGATTTCCTCAATAAACTGACCAAAAACAGAGCTAGGGTACAAAAAGAGTGCCCGGCCCCTAACTAAATCTGAGAAAATCGGATTGTCAAACTTTCTCTGTATTTTGCTTTATCCCATACAACAAAACTATCTATCCCATAATCCTCAAAAGTCCTACGGTTTCTTTCCAACCAAATACCCCAAAAAATTGCCAATGTAGCGGGCATTGCATAAAATCCTATCCCTAGAATGAAGATTAGGCACTAAGAAAACTCAAACAGCTCCTTCCATCTCCTAGCCAATTCCCATGATAAACCCTACTCCTAGAACAAAAATTAGGCAGTAAAGTATTTGTGATTTTAGTACTGTTGATAAACTTAAATGGCTTCTCAAGTTCTTTGAACAGTGGATTTTAATTAGATCCGTAGTAATTATATTTAGTGCTTGATATAATGGGGCCTGTGGAGGTATAGTCATTGTCATATGCTTGATTCATATGCCACTTAATGTAGGCCCATCTTCGTTTACCCATCATCTCTTAGCTCGGCAGATATTTGTATAATGCTGGACGTGAATTGGAAATCTTTTTTCACTTGCATGATCAATTTTTTCTTCTTTTTCATTTGTAGTTTTTGCTTCCTATGCGTGTATTTATGCGTATTTATACATTTGTCTATTCTGTTTCTTTTCCTTTCTGTTTTTGTCCATCGTTACACGGCTCAGAGTGTCAACCCTTTACTGAAGTAGTTTGTTGTATCTGTTTTTCTTATACCACCACGTATGCTTTAATCTATTTGGTTTGCAAACAGCTACTTCACCACCCCAACGACTGAGGCTGAAAATGCTCAACAAGATGCTTTGCTTAAAAAGATTCTCAATGAGTCATTGACATTTCACTTCTGGAACAGCGTAACGTCTGCTCTCATTCCAGAGCCAGATAGCCTTGTGACCCGGCTTATTGACCACACCTGTATCCGATGCTCTGATGTGTTGTGAATTCAAATTCAACTCGGCATTTTCTCCAAAGCTGGTAATACAGAAGGTTATTGCATCCACACTTTTCGATAACCGTTTCTCGCTAACATCTAAAAAGAAAAGGTTGAGGCATTATTCTGTTATGAGGCATTATACATAAACTACAGGTTTTTTCTTGTACTGTAGTCTTATACCTTGTATGTTCATTACAAAAAAGAAAAACTAGTTTTCCCTAATAAGTTGCAGTTTTTATGTGTACAGAAAAATGTATTTTGGTCTTAAGATGTCAACGCCGTCGTTTGTAGTTTATATTCTTAGTCTTTGCAACCAATTTTGGATGAGGGTTGCACATACTTCTTGTCCCTTCACAAGTCCACCTGCATTTGGGTTCAGGCTTTGTAACTAAGAAGGAAGAAGCATGCAGCTACACCGGGTCGTCCTTATAGAGGCCCCGGCGCGTTTTGTTACAAGCATATTGAACTAGGAACATTAGCTGTGTTTCTGCCAGGAAACTAGAATAAATAGAGATTTGCGCTCTTTTGTGCATCCGAATTTTGTTATGATGTATATGAGAATCATCTGTTGAGACTCGATAGAAAAGTAAACATTCGTTTGTGGCTACTCATTGTGGCTAATCATTGCTAATTCCCCTTTTATACTACTAAATCCCCCTCTAACAAACTACTAACAACAGCTCACTAGTGGGTTACACTAACCGCCTACTAAGCTCTATTAAACAGTTGCCTATCGAAGTCATTAGCAGTTAACTTGGAAATTTTGGATTTTCATTACTCGTCCATGTTATGATACACATGCATGGTCTATATTTTGAGTCCGTTTAGTTTGTTGATTCGAATTTTTAATTTGAGTTAAGATGTGACTTTATGTGAGTTTTTTACGGTAACAAAAAAGTTAAATGTGATTATTTTTAAGAATTTTTTACTGTAATAAAACTCAAATTTTAAATTTAAATCGGTAAAATGAACTGGACTTTCATTTCTCGTCTTTTTGGGCTTGTTTGTTTGCGTTTTCATTTCTATTTTTCACGGTTTTCAAAGTAAAAAAATGAAAACGGATGTTAAAAACGTGTTTGGTGCAATTTTTTTTAAAAAACAAAACCAAAAACGTTTTTGTCTTTTTATGGAAATCAGAAAATGAAAAAAAGATGTTTTCATTTTTTCGTTTTCGTTTTCTGTTTTCTGAAAAACGGATTTCACTTTTTTTTTTTTTTCATTTTTTTCCCTCTTTTCTGAAACCGTTTTTGTATTATATATGTTTATTTAATATATTTATTTAATATAATATAGTTAATATATTTAATAATATTATTTATTTAATATATTTAATAATGTTATTTATTTAATATATTATGATTTAATA